ACTCAGCATTCTCTGTAGTGACACAAGGGTCTCCCTGCTCATGCTAATAAAATTTCCATTTACTCCGGACATCAACCACGTTAATTAAAAAAAAAAAACATCCCATCAATTATTTACTGAGATGGAACTTCAGCTTGGTATAATGTATTAGTTCAGCTAGCGGTGAAGCCTGCACCAGGGCAATAAAAGAGGTTTTTATCCTCCTTCCCAAAAGACATTTTTCAGTAACCTACACATGACCTTGAGCAGATGGGTTTTCCAAGATGACACTACAAGGAGGGTGTACAAAGAGAGAAAGAGCAGGCTTCTTCGCAGAGGCCGCAATTTAGGCCGATACCTGTTGTCCCGGGAAAGAAGAAAAGGAAAACGTATATATCGCATTTTGTTTTTAAAAGTTGTAAGACCTTAAAAAAGATGTCTTTGGGAAGGACTGTTTATTTAATAGATACATAAATCTGGAAGGAGAACTCTGGAGTGAGACAAGCCTGTGTGGAGACCACCTGTCACATGTTACATTAGTCTGGAGCGCTGGAGCGTGAGGTCAGCCCAGTGGCTCCGTCTTCATCTTTGAAAGTGTTGTTTTTTTTAGAATGGGAGATCGATTTTCATGTATCTCAGACAGCCGGGGAGTCTGCTCGCTACCATTTGCTGACTAATGTCCCCCATGAAGACAAGGGCAACAAGCAAGTTTATGAATTACGACTCCCTTTGCAAAGCTTTCTTTTTTTTAAGAGTGTCTGCTCTGATTAAAGCCATTAGAGCCCGGAGCAAATGAAACTGTGTCGCATTTTGACATGCCTTGCATTTTGTAGCTGGGACCAGTTGAAGCCCACATTTTAATTCGTAGGCCATTGAAGGCAAGCCACGAGGGTTAAGCTATCTAGCTGCTCCCCACTGCCAGGCCGGGGTTCCAAGGAGTTCCGTAGCAGACTTACTGGTTCAGGGCACTTTTATTAGTTTGCTGTGTAAATACTTTTCATTTGCCTTCCGCTCTGCAGAAGTTATTTTTAAAAGTGACTCGGTAGAAGAACATATTCAAAGCTTCCAGGATTAAAAGTGACCGAACAAACACACTGTCAGCTTGCTTTTGCACTTACGGAACTATTGGAGAAAGATCCTCTCTACCCTAATTGTGCAAGACCAGAGTGATAATGAATTATCTGGCCACGCACTGAGGATACCACTCGGCGGTGGAGCACTTTTGGCATTTGTGAGGCTCCGAGTTCAACTCTTAATACTGAAAAAAAAAAAGCCATGGAAAGCTAATGCACCCACAGTTCTGTGAACAGACCCTGGATAGCCTCTCGTGACCCAGTACATACATACGTACGTACGTACATACATACGTATTTCTCCGATTCCTAGGGTTTTTCAGCTCTGCCCTTGGCCACCCTTCTAGTAAAGCATCTCCCTCTAATCTATATTTTAGCTGTCTCCCTTCCCTACGTCTACAGCCAAGCCTGTTTCCCTTTTCTTCGGCTTCATTTTTTTCTTTTTTCCCCCAAGCCCACCAGTAAGAAACTTTCTCCTGGCCGAGCTTTTGGTGTTATGTTTGTCTGTGTCCTGTGGGGATGCCACCTGTACAGCGGCATGAACTAAGGACAGGTGGCATTTCCCTTTGTAGATCACTTTTGTCCAAGCAACAGCCAGGGAAGCACTCCCGTTATGTATTTTCGTAGACTCGTAGTAGACCAGCTCTGGCGTCTGACGTGGCCTGCCTATCAGGAAATGGGTAACGTCCCATTGTCCCTTTACTGTTTGTGTTTAGTTATCCTTATTTGTACACAGCATGAAGGAAGTCAGTTCCGGTTGGGGCCATCAGTGCACGGGAACTAAACTTTTCACCGTCAACTCTCAAGCAATACAGCGGGCTGTTCCGTTCCCCCGCGGAGTTCTAAAAAGTGCCTTTGCAAGTATCTGTGAAAACGTTACCACTCCACCCCGTCTACGCAGATCAGTTTGAAGTCTGCACAGTGCTTTTAATCCCTGATGGAAGAAGCCCATGAAGTTCAACTGCCGCCAGGCCCGGAAAGTGATCAGCAAGTCAAATGATTTAAGGAAAAAACAAAATACTGTACCATATGCAGAGGGGGAGGGGAGGATGGGAAGAGCCTCCTTGATTTTTTTTTTTTTTTTTTTTTGCCCGCAGTGTGTCCCGGTGTTCTCAGAGGTCCCAAGGCATGTGCATGTTCAGTGTATAGCTGGACATGTGCCACTCTGCGTGTCAGTGGCACAAAGACATGCTTGAGAAGGGTTGAGTGATGAGATAATTAGAACCAGGCAACAGCAGGGTGGAGGCATCATCTGTGCTAGTGATAGCTTGCTCCGCTAATTGCCAGCGCCAGATTTTTCTGGGCAATTAGATGTTCGGTGTCTTCCAAGACCTTCTGTGCAAAGCAAACATGGACGCATGGCCCCCGCAGCCTTTGAGGTAGCAGGTGGAGAGAGGGTAGGCTCCCGGGTGGACGGCAACTCTCTCTGGAGGTTACCCCAGGGTTGGCACATAAAAGGGAACCATCATCGACCAATGGGATGATTGCCTGGCCAGGCCCCTGCGCAGAGAGCCGGAGGAAACCCCTAGCCTTTACGGAAAGGGGTGCCTTGAGCTCGGAGACGAACAAAGCTGGGGGTGCTTGGTGGGCTGGCTGAGGAGCCAAGTGTGATCCACTCTCCTTTACAAGCACCATAATAATAGGTACAGGAAATATTGTGTCCTCCCATGAGCAAGGTAAGTTATAGGTTTTGTTTTCAGACAAGGCCTTGAGTAGTCCAGGCTGCCCTTAAACTCCCGATGTAGCCTGGGGATGACCTGAACATCTGATCCTCTGGCCTCTCTGCCTTCGCAGTGCCAGGATTACCGGTGTGGGTCACTATTTGGTGCTGAGATCAAAGCCACGACTTTGTGTACGATAAGGAAGCATCCACAGCCAAGGATGGGTCTTCAGCAAATATTTTTCATTATGTCAGAGTATACGTAACACAAAGCCTTCCGCTGGAACAGTTTTAAAATGTGCAATTAGTTGAGCCGCATGACTTGTCCCACAGCATCACTGACCATTTGCAAAACTTTTCATCGCCCCAGTCAAGAACTCTGCGCTCATTAAGCAACGACTCCTGGAAACCTTTCATCTGCTTCCTGCCTCTTCTGCATGGCTCATACAAGTGAAATGACATAATATTTTCCCTCTCCTGTCCAGCTTACTGCAACCGTTTCCTGGTTCGCTGGTGTTAGAGTGTGTTTAGGAAGGCCGTTGCCTTTGCAGATAGTTGTACTGTTCCCAGTACTGTCCCACGGTTGAGTGAACAACATTTTGCTTACCCACTCCCTTGTTGACGGACACACGAGTTTGTTTCTGCCTTTTGGTTATGGCGAACGCCGTTGCACTGAACACCCACATACAAGTCTCTCTGGGATCTGCTTTGGAGACCCTAGTAGTCACATTGCTGGGTCATAGACTTATTCTGTGTGCGGCATTTCGAGCAGCCGCCAGACCGTTTCCACAGCAGCTGTGCCATTTACGTCCTCACCAGCAACGCATGGGAGTTCCAATTTCCGCACTTGTTTTTCTTTCCTTTTAAAAATTACGCTCACCCTTGTGGGCGAAGCAGCCTATCGTTGCAGCTTTTGGTAGACCAGTTGGTTTTAGACTCACAGAAATCCACCTGCCTGTGCTCTCCAGGGCCTTGGATCCAAGGTGTGCGCCACCCCGCCCTGTTTTCATTGCGTTTCTCTGGTGGCGACTGAAGCTGGTCGTCTTCTCCTACCCTTGCTGAGCCCCCTGGTGAAGAGAACGGGGCCATGAGCTCACAGATAGGAAGTGACTTGCAGGTTCAAAGCTTCCCATTGGCTTTTTCATGATCCGTTTCGGTCCTCAGTCTTTCCGAGAGCCACTGAGATGATGCTGTTTGAATTCCCACCAAGTAGAAAAAAAAAAGTAATTCTGCAAGAGCCTGGGATTAACACAAAGTGATTTAGCAGATGGAGCTATTCCTCACTCTCCCACCAAGGGGAGAGCCTTTCCCAGATAAAGCCAGCCCACCCGCCGCCTACATGGAATTAAGCTGTGTACTAAACTAGCAATGTATTCAGAGTAAAGCCTGGCCCCTGGTACCAGTGGGCATGCGGCATCTGGTTATTGTTTCTCTGGTTGGTTGGCAGCTGCTGGTCTTTGCTTGGTCGCTTTGCAGCCCTGCCAGCCCTGGGCAGTGGACATGAGGCCACTGTGGAGCCTTCAGGCACTGACCAAGGACAGGTGTCTTGACCTTGGGGCCCACTGAGACTACTCCAGAACAAATGTTCATACTTGAATCCTTGCAACAGGGCCAGGGCAATATGATATTTCTGCTACTTTGCCATTGGTCTTTCTTCTGTTTGGCTTAGTGTCCCTTGTGTCCCAGGGCCAGGAAGGCTAACCCAGCTACCTTCTGACTGCTACTCTCCTCACCCAAATGTTGGACACTTTCAGCACCCTTGAAGGCACAAGTTCTCTGTGCTCTGGAGGTCTTTGTGCTAGAAGTAGGTGGCAGGTGGCGCATTGGTCATCAGATAGCGTCATTCAGAGTTGCACTCATGTCCCATATTCTGTGGACAGGGGTTGTTAACCCTGGGATAAAGGGTATCCCATTTACTTTTAGGAGCCCGAGAGCTATAGATACTCTTCCAGAATACATGAAAATTGGTATACCATCCTCTCTGATACCGTTGCAATAATTCCTTTCCTGGGGAGACGTGAACAACATCTGTCTCCCCATTATGAAGTCTACAAGTGAGTCACAGGGCAGCCAAGGCTACAGAGAAACCTTGTCTCAAAACCCAATCCAAACACACACACACACACACACACACACACACACACACACACATACACACACACACACACGTCCGGACGGCCATGTATGATTCCGCGTGGGGAGCAGAGCTACACAGGCCTCTTTTTCTGCTCCGTGGGCTGCTGGCCTGTGTCACTTTTAAGAAACTAACTTTTGTCTTTTCTTTTTAGAAACAGCCCCTACATCCGCATATTCCTCTCCAGCCCGGAGCCTCGGGGACACGGGAATCACACCTCTATCCCCTTCCCACATCTTGGTAAGAAACATGTGTGCCCGTGCATGCTTGCTCTAACTGCCTTTGCTTTCCCTCTCACGCTGCAGGCTGCTAGGCCGGGTCCTCTGCATCCCCTTGTGGAACGTGCACCTGGTGCGGGGGTAGCGTGTGCACTCCGCCAAGCCCGTCCCATACCCTGGGCCCCCCATAAAGGCTTTCCGAGTTGTGGCTGATGTTTCTGGAGGCACCAGCCTGGGGGGGCGGGGAATAATGTGAGCAGACAGACAGAGGGACCAGCCCCCGAGAGACTGGAGCTTGGAGGCGGCAAGGCGGCTTCCCGCTTTGGGACAAGCCAGCAAAACCGCAGTGGCTTCGTTCACGGAGGTTCTCTCAGCGTCCAAGGATCAGTGGCTAGGGAATTGTTTCTTTCTCGGGTTTTCCCTGGAGAGAGCTGAGCAGCCACTGGCTTATGGGTCCTGGGGCTCTTGCCTTCCCCGCGTCCTCGAGTACACGGGAAAGTGGGTGGTAGGGAAAGCCCAAGGAAGGGTAGGAAGGGTAGCTCGGCACTCACGGTTCGGGGCCACGGAGACTAATGAGGAGCGCGTGGGAGCCACCATTCACGGGGCGGGGGGGGGCGTGTATTGCTTTGTTTTGTTCATCCCAGAGTTCTCTCGCTGTGATTGGCTGACTTACACTCAGGAGTCTCAGTCCTGCGTCTCGGAAACGCCCTTAGCCCTGGCGAGTCCGGTGGAGGAAGTAGCAACCTGTAGGTCTGGTCCCCTTGAGATTCAGACTTTGTACCCCTTGCTCCTTGGGAGAGCAGCTGGGGGCAGTGAGAAGGGAGGCTAGTAGGAGTGTTCTCAACCCCCACCTCCCCCGAGTTTAGCCAGAGCAGCCCAGCCCGAAGTGTGCCGGGTGTATAATTAACTCGGTGTTCTTTGGGAATTAAAATAGAAGAAAAGGAAAAGAAAGTTTATGTTGCTCTGGCGGGGAGGGAGGGGAGCTGGGATACCCGAGGTGGCCTGTTCAAGTGGCTTCGCAGTTGAGGAACAGGTGCGGACTTGAGGCCAGGGGCCCAAGGTCACAGGATGGGTACGGAGCGCTGGACAGAGTCACTCACCATGTGTGCACCGGTCCATGTAAAGAAAACACTGCAAAGATGGCCTAGGCGCTGACGAGTCCGTCCTCTGGGTGGAGGCAGGGTTCTGCAGAGGGAGATGTGGAGACTGCATCCACACAAGGAGGAGCCACTCGCTCCACCGGGCTTCCGTCCGTCCGGGGGTAGCATTTCCACGGTCAGCCACCATGCGCACGACTGGGAAGCCAAGGGCCTGTAGGTGCCCGCACCCCGATTTGGGGCCGGCCTTCATCTCTCTTCTCGAGCCACTCGGGTGGCCACTGAGGCTGATCTGCTCGTGCTGCGGTAGTCCACCTGCGGCCAGCGCCAGACCGGGCAGGGCAGAGGTCTCTTCCCGGAGGTGAGGCCCTGCTGTGTACTTTCAGAACGACGCCGACCCGGTCTCAGACGAGCAGACATTCCTCGTGGTGGTGGCCATCGACTTTGGGACCACATCCAGTGGCTACGCCTACAGCTTTACCAAGGAGCCGGAGTGCATCCACGTGATGCGGTGAGTGCTGCGGGGGAGGGGCGTCGTCACGTGGCCCTGGCTGCCTCGCTTGTGTAGACTTTGGGGGTGGGGTGGGGCTGGTCGCCGGTGTCCAGGAAGGGCACCATGGATTCAGGTCTAGACCCCCCACCCCGTGCTACTTTCTAACGTTGTGACTACAGGATCCCTCCCGTCTGTCAGCTCATAGGGTTCAATTCTTACATAGTTAGTTTTGGCCAGGGGGCTATAGACAGAGTGAAGGAATCCCCATCCAGAGTGATCCCAGGGTTTGGCCTGGGTGAGAGGAGCCGGGAGACGCCCTATATGGTGTCTGTGTTAGAGGGTGATCCGTGGGTCGGCTCAGCCGCTTGCTCAGGCGATAACCCAGCCCGCTTCACCTCTGTTTCCTCACCTTTGGTTCAGGGACAATGGCAGCGTCTGCCTCACGTGCTTGTGCAGATTTAATGGGATTTTTCTATGGAGTAAAATCAGCCCACACGAAAATGTAAGCAGGGAGGTGGGTGCCAGCTCTTCCACGTGCAGAAGACACCAGACAGCTTGGAAAGCAGGGAAGGGTGGTCCTCTGCCTGGCCCAAGTGTGCGCTGTAGTCTTCCCACCAGCCGCCTGGGTCTCGCCCGCTGCAGTCTCAGCCCCCAAACAACACGCAGGACGCTATATTAATTATGAAGCTGTTGGCCTTTGCTATGGTTTCTAATCGGCTAGCTCTGACTTAATTATTAACCCACAATTACTAATACATATTTTTATAAGGATTTATCTTTCTGAGGACACCATCCTGATGCTGTCCTTTTCTCCCGTGATCGCACGGAGAGGACTTCTCACTACATTTCCCAGAATCCTCCTAGACACCCAGTCCCACCTGTCTTGCTTCCCTATTGGCCAACAGTGCTTTATTTACATATGCACAGAAGGACGTCCCCCAAGTGTCCTGGGGCATCCTTAATGCACACAGTGAAGGGATCAGACCCTCACCCAGCCCCCTGCTTTGGCAGCCATGGCCGGGCTGCAGAAAAGACCCGGCAAGATGTAGGCCTCTGGCTCAGCACATGTCTGACCTTGCAGGAGCTGCCTTAGTCACTAGGAGGTCAGATACCCTCCACATGGCAAGGAACCAATCGGAAGTTAGCTGGTGGGCTCGGGATGTGCTTTACGGTAAAAATAGCGGCTAAAAGTGGCGTAACAGTGATGTACAGAGCATAGCAACTTCCCTGGGAGGGCCTATAGGCCATAGCAACCAGCTGACCAATCAACACAGGGCAGGTGGCCCAAACCCAGAAGTACACCAATCCTGAGACTGCTGAGGACCCCTAGGCACTCCTCTTGCCCTCCCCAATAAATTCCCTGCCTCGTGGTTCCCCTGGGTCCTTCCTATGCCAAGCGCTGTGTTGGATGGATGAGGGAAACAAGTTAAGACAGTTAATTCGTTAAACAATAAAAGCCTCTTGGCTTTTGCCTCAGAATGGGTCTCTTGGTGATTTTGGGGGTCCAGAATTTGGGCACAACACACAGCAGCTTGGCCCTCACAGCACCGTCCCTGGGGTCCATCGTCAGCTCTTCCAGTCTTCAGCCGTCCTTGCAAAACTTTGGAAGCTCAGGATTTGTGGGCGTTTTCCCCCCCTACAAGGAATAAGGTTGAGACGCACCAGGAATGGTTCCATGTTGCTTGTAACAGGGTTGATTGTGGGATTCAGTCATCACTCCTAGAGTGAGACTAAGTCACTGCAAAAGCGACTCACAGCAAGCCTTGTCTACCAGGAGGTTCCATCCTGCAGCAGACTGTGTGTGCGGCCACACTTGCACACACACACACACACACAGTGCGGGGTACAGATTATTGTGGAATATTTCTTTCCCACCTGGTCCCACCACCCAAGAGCCCCAAATACCAAATAAACACACAGAGACTTACATTAATTATAAAACCTCATTGGCTAGCTCTGCCTTAATTATTAACCCATAACTACTAAGCTAGGTATTTCTACATGGTCTTGGCTTACTGGAGAATGCCTGGCGCATCCTGCCTTCCCGGTTCCCACATGTCTTTTATCCTGGCAGCCTCTGCCTGCCTACCTGTTCCGGAATTCTCCTTGTCTCCTAGTCCCGCCTATCTTCCTTCCTGTATTGGCTATTGACCAAACAGTGTTTTATTCATCAATCAATAAGAGAAACAAATATAAAAGGACATCCCCCATGGATAAATATATAAAATTTATAGGAGTGAAAGAATAAAAGACTGAGTGCAGAAAACAGAGAACAGAGCTACCTAGCCTGAACGTGTCCCCGTGTCCCCATTCACCTGGGGCACTCCGCCTCCTGGGAGAACATGCCTCCTGCCTGGGAAGCGGGCCAGGGACAATGCCAGAGCCATCCGAGTGGAAGTCCCTCAGGAGGGAGGCACCCGTCTGCCCTGTGATGGCCTCTTCATGCTGCCTGCAGCGCTGTTCGTGAGCATAGACTGGAACTCAGCCTGGGCCGCAGCTGCTCCCTCCCCTGTTGGACTGCACCAGTGTCTGGCACTGAGTCTCCACCTGAGGCTGCTCCTGGGGGGCAGTGTGGTCTCTTGGCAGCCCTGGCTTCCGGAGAGCAGGGACCCCAAAGAGAGAAGAAGCACGAGTGACCTGTCATCCCATTTCCCTGGCTTTTGTTTTGTTTTATTAACTTCTGTCCAGGAGGAGGAAAGCTTCTCTAGGGTTGAGATGACCTCACCCCTGCCCCATTGCGTATCTTTGTCTGTCTCCCTGTGCCCTACCTCTGCCTCTGCCGCCGCCGCCTCCTCAGTTTATAACTGAGTGATCCCTTAGTGCCATCCCTGCGGCTGTCATTGGGCTACAGAAGCTGTATCTGGGGTCTTTCCCTCCAGTTAAGTGCATGGGCTTTTCTGGGCACTCCCCACCTTCCCCTAGAGTGCCCTCCTCCCCAGCGCTCCAGGTTTCTAATCTGTGCTCCCCACCCCAGGGTCCCCTGGGCTCCTCCTCATCACAGTAGCCATGGGCTGCCTCCTCCCTCTGGCATTCACCTCTCTCTTCTTATGTCTCTCTCAGCTCTGCCCTGGCCTAGGCCTGACCTCTACAGTCACCTCCTGGCTCCCAGCCCTTTGGGTTCAGCTCGTTCTCGACAGCAGCATCTCCCCCATTGTCCACAGATAAAGCCCAAGTCTGCAGGGTTCTCTGCAGCCCGGCTCTGCTTCCCCCCATACCTCACTCTTCTTATTTACACAGTGTCTGACCAACAGGGTCACTTAGCTGCCCGGGTCCGCTCACCTCAGAGCAGCCTGGAGTGACCTTCCCTCTGCGATCTGGTCCTCGGGGGAGTTCTCTCCCTCTTCCGTGGTCTCCCGAGAGTCCCGTCTCCTGGGCCCCCACCAACCACCGCTTCCTGTGGCCACTCAGGCTCATTTCCCTGAGTTCCCTGGTTCCATCTGGACGGGATGGTCAGGTGTGTCTGTTCACACCATCCAACTTAGAAGAGGTTTCCAGCCAGCTCTGTCCCAGCAGATGCCACTGGGAGCTTGGAAAACGGCAAACCTTCCAGGCTGTGAGTTACCGGGAGGCCCGAAGCGCGCAGTCAGCCTTGCTTGCGCCCCTGTGCCACAGGCCTGTGGCACACCGTGGCTGCTCCGTAAACACCAATTGCAAGGTGAACGCAGGGTCCATGTCGAGTACAACCTGGTTTTCGCCCTCTTCTCATTCTAACTGAGGCGTGTCCAGACATTAGCTGCGACGGAGTGAGTCCAGGCACTAATGTCAGTAACAGACGTACACATAGTAGGTACTCAGGTTCGCTATGCCGACTGGACTGGGGTTTTCCTAAGACCTGAAACTTCTGCCTCCCCTCCCGGCAGGAGATGGGAGGGAGGCGACCCAGGCGTCTCCAACCAGAAGACCCCGACCACCATCTTGCTGACGCCAGACAGGAAGTTCCACAGCTTCGGGTACGCCGCCAGGGACTTCTACCATGACCTGGATCCCAACGAGGCCAAGCAGTGGCTGTACTTGGAGAAGTTCAAGATGAAACTCCACACCACAGGGGTGAGCTGGCCTCTCTAGGAGAGCAAGGGACCTCAGTGAGAGGGGTGTCCAACTGGGGCCCCCCAGGTTTCTCCCAAACAGAAATTAATGCCCGCCTGACTGGGTCTAGGAAACAGTCTACAGGGGATGGTTCCTCACGTCCATTTGTGGACTCAGTTCTTCCTGGTGTGTGTGTGTGTGTGTGTGTGTGTGTGTGTGTGTGTGTGTTTTGGGGTTGGCAGGAGGTGTTGGGGGTGTTTAGGTCTGACAGCTCAGAGAGGATCCCAGTTGTGACATGGATGTAAGGTGCTACCACCTTGCTGCCCGATGACTGACTCGCCATTGAAGGCCCAAGTAGGGGAAGGTGGGTGGGTCAGGGCTGTGGCTATTACCTGGTCATTTTGGAAGTAACAACCAGTCACATTGGCCGGGCCACCGTCTGTGTGTGGGGCAAGAAGCTAAGTACAAATGGAATAGTCCTTAGGGGCCTGAACGCCCGAGCAGTGACCTCACTTCTAAAACCCCGAGCAAGCCGGCTTGGCTCTGTGAGATGCCCAGGTCCAGCAGGCGTCCCTGCCCCAAAGCCTCCTGGGAAAGGTGAGAGCCGGACGAAGACCACGGACCCTGAGCCACACACCGTGGGTTTCAGTTCTGCCCCTGCTTCCTCCAAGGCAACTTAGCCCGAGCCGGGCGACCTTGCTGTGTGTACCTCGTTATACTTCCTTTTTAAGATGCAGACGGCTATAGCGTCTTGTTCACAGGAGGAATATGAGGACCAAAGTACTAGAAATGCATCACGCTCCCAGAGGAGGGCAAGTTCCATCCAAGTGGTAGGTAGCTTCCATTAGCATTCACAGATGGCAGCCCAGAGGTGACAGGAAAGCCACCGCCGGCAGCTAGCCTTCCAAGGCTCTGGGCTTGCGTGAGGTTGCATTTCTGTGCCGTGGACCAGCTTAGGCTGGGAAGGACTCACCCCCTCCTCTCCAGGGGAGACCCCGTGCTGGTTGTCAGGATTGGGCGGTGGAGTCGCAGGCTGAACTGTACAGTTCGTGGGACTTAAGTGCTCCCTCGAGCCCGAGAGTCTAGAAGCAGGGAGGCTTTGCTGGACCCCAGGAGAGGGTGTTGGCCAGAAGCATCGAGCATGAGCAGACAGTTTGGGATACATCCGAAGGTTCCACAGGGACCCTGTCTAAAGCAAAGTCAAAAGCCTGGTTGTCCAGCCTGCACCAGTCTGATTGTCCACGGATTAACTTGTCCCTGGCATTAATAAACAGATTAGTCCAGGGGTTCCTTCCACGCTCCACCCACCCTCTGCCCCTCGGGGACCCTGGCCATCATTTTTTTCTGACGACCTCTCTCCACACACCATCTGGCCTCTCCACAGTGCCCTCTACCCGAGGACCATGCGCAGCAGCTGCTCCGGCTTCTGGTGGAGCAGGAGGGGCAGCTCTGCCTCTCTTCCAGCAGATGGGACAGAACTGACCTTAAAATAGGAGCTCTTCTATTTTAGCGACTCGGCTGGCAGCTCACCGGGGGATGGAAAGATTCATGTGTGTTAGCATCCCACTTGGCAGCCAAGTGGCACGGTTTAAGCTTCTGTCACGGGGCTCCCGAGGGTGACGGGTATCTGGAAGCCGCGCATAAATTTCACCGGGCTTGGCTCCTGCTACCCACCCATTCTTCCCTGGGACCCGAGGCAGAGAGAAAGGAAGGAAGGGAAGGAAGGAGGCCCAATGAAGGCGGGGGCCTGGAGAGACCAGCCAGAGCTCTCTCTCGTACAATAAGGGGCATCGCTGACAGCGCCTGGCCAGGCAAACTGTTGTATCCACCTCTCTGGACACAGGGGGCTAGACTCCGCTGGCCTCCAAACAGCAGATTCCCCCAGCCACAGGCACGGTTCTCCCCCGCCCTTTCCTGTATCCCCTTGCCTTTCTCCCTCCAGGACCTCACCACGGACACAGACCTGACAGCGGCAAATGGCAAGAAAGTCAAAGCCCTTGAAATCTTCACACACGCCCTGCAGCACTTTAAAGAGCAGGCACTGAAGGTGAGGCCCAGGGGCGTCGGCCTCCGAGGGGTGGCGGCCGGCGGCCCCCTGTTAGTCCATCCAGTTGGGCAGAGGTACAGCGTGCAGGGAGAGGATGTGGGCTCTGGGGTCAGAACAGTAGGATGTGTTCCTCGGCCATGCTGGCCAGAAGGTGTGATGGTTCTGAATTTTGGAACACATTCGGAAGCTCCTAATAAAAAAAAAAGATAAACACGGACATCACCCAGCACTTCCACTCCCGGGCACACATCTAAGGGAAATGAAAACATGCACACATGCACATAAGGCTGTTTAAGGAAAGTTCATTATTCATGGTAACTAAAACGTGGGAACAACTCAGATGTCCATCACCCGATGGATAACCAAATGCGGTATGTCCATTCACTGGAGTGTTACTCAGCCATCCAAAGGAATGGAATACAGATATGTTATGGTATGGATAAACTTCAAAAACCTCTTGAAAAATAAAAGCAACGACACAGAAAAGCCACAGCGTATAATTTCATTTGCACGAAATGTTCACTCACAGGTAAATCCACAGAGACACCAGCCTTCAGGGAGCTGGGGATGTGGGAAGGAGGAATGTCCCCTGAAGGATGGGGGGAGTTGAGATAATGAGGGCGCCAGGAGCATCACACGGCGGGTGTGCGGGGTGCCGGGCACAGACTGCCGTGGAGCGCTGTTTAAAGCCTGCTGCTCAGCAAAGCCACAGGAGGTGTGTCCCGGGGGGGGGGCAGCCGTGTCCCACCTCCTGATGCATTTCCTCTCCTTGGCATTAGGAGCTGAGTGACCAGGCGGGGTCCGACTTTGAGAACTCTGATGTCAGATGGGTCATCACAGTGCCCGCCATCTGGAAGCAGCCAGCCAAGCAGTTCATGAGAGAAGCTGCCTACCAGGTGAGGGACGCTGGGATGGGAATGGGGGTAGAGGAAGGGGAGCGGGGATGCCCGCGGCGGTGGTTCTGCTCAGGCATTGCCCAGCATTTGCCTGCTTCCTAAGGAAGATGGGAAGGTGTAGAGAGAAGACTTTTCCTTGTCTGCTGCTTTTGTTTTTCCCCCACCAGTCGCCTGGGCTCTGCCGTGTTGCAGTCCCCAAATAACACACAAGACGCTGTATTAATTATGAAGCTGTTGGCCTTGCTTGTTTCTTACTGGCTAGCTCTGACTTGCGTATTTACCCCATAATTGTTAATCTAAGTATCTCTCTTACCGGAAAAGTTTCCGGGCTTCTTATCCCTATGGCGGTTACATCGTGACTCCCTGTGTTTCTCCTACCCAGAGTCCTCCTGGACTCCTAGTCCCACCTATCTTGCTTCCCTATTGGCCAACAGTGCTTTATTGACATATACACAGGACTTCCCCCATCAGGAAGGGACCAAGAGCCTCAGCTTCCTGGGTTAGTCTCTCTCTCTCTCTCTCTCTCTCTCTCTCTCTCTCTCTCTCTCTCTCTCTCTCTCTCTCTCTCTCTCTCTCTCTCTCTCTCTCTCTCTCTCTCTCTCTCTCTCTCTCTCTCTCTCTCTCTCTCTCTCTCTCTCTCTCTCTCTCCCTGGATCCATGTGTGTCTGGGTCATGTCTCCCACTGTAAATTTCCTGGGATTGGATTTCACAGTGAGGTTCAGAGACATTTCCTGTAGATGAAGGAGAGTGAAAAAGACTTCAGGAAAAGCCTTGGAAGCAGGAATATTTGTATAAGAAAGGCATAGAGGCAAGGATGTTGACCAGCTGCAGCTGGTGCATTGAACTGTCTTCAGTACACTTGCCTGTCAGAGCCACATAGTAGCATGTGGGCTCTCGGGAAGGGTGGGGGCTAACACACTGGGTGCCGGCAGGCTACCACGCAAGAGCAGTGGCATGACTCCATGGTCAGCCTCAGAGGTAAGACTCTCCAGCCATTAAGGGTCCGTCTACACCGTAAACACGCGTGGTCTCTGTGGTGGTCAATGGTGATGGACAAGTTGACAGGATCTGGACTCATCCAGGGGAAAAACTTGAGGCGTGTCTGTGAGGGAGTCTCTGCAGGTGGCACCGTCTCAGGGGCAGGCCAGCTAGACTGGTTAAACTGGAGGGAGCGGGCTCAGCACCAGCATTCACCCTCCCCCCACCCCGCTTCCCGATGGTCGGCCACATGCTTCTGCCACCGTGTCTCCTCTAGCCGTGGCGGACTGCCCTCTCAGACCGTGAGCCAGAACAAATCCTGCAATCCTGGAATTGCCTCTGTCGGGTGTAAAGAGAAGCCTTCCCGCCAGCCTGGTTCCAGAGCTGCATCAGTCCCAAATGAACACACAGGAGGCTATATTAATTATGAAGCTGTTTGCCTTGCTTGTTTCTTACTGGCTAGCTCTGACTTAAGTATTTACCTCATAATTGTTAATCTAAGTATCTCTCTTACCGGAGCAAAGTTTCCGGGCTTCTTATCCCTATGGCGGTTACATCTTGACTCCCTGTGTTTTTCCTACCCAGAGTCCTCCTCGACTCCTAGTCCTACCTATCTTGCTTCCCTATTGGCCAACAGTCCTTTATTGACATATACACAGGTCTTCCCCAACAGTCGGGTGTCCTGTGTTAGCACTGAGAAAAGTCACCCATACAGCTTCCTACTGTCACAGCCAGACAACCCGTGCCCAGCAGTCTTCCATGATAGGGACAGCTAGCCACGCCAAACTGCCGTTCCCGGCCCCAGCACACGGCTGGCTTTTATCAAACCCGGGTCAACGCTCCGCCTTGAAAGTCAGTTTCTGGCCTTTAATCTCAGCCCCAGCAGGGCATGCACATCGAGGCAATAGATGTCCCCCTTGTCCTCATCACTCCTCTCAGGAGGTGTGGTTCCCACCTTTCCCCAGGAGGCACATTTCTGGCATCAAGTTAGTAGCCATGTATGCGAACCTTTCCTTCCAAAAGAAGGAGCCACCAAATTCACTGGAGTCACCAAACCCACCCGAGCCACAGCGGATGGTAAAGCCACCCCCACGAAGCCCAGCACCATGGGCTCTGCTCGGCGCTCAGGGCTTGCAGAGCTCATCTTGGACGAGGTCAGGGGTGGATTATCCCTCCCCTTCCTGTCCCCTTTCCGGGACTGTTCCCTCTGCTCTCCCCTTTCCTCCCTGCGTGCAGCGTGAGAATCTGATTCTGTGTATGGAGCTGCCAAAAATAGATCTGCTGTCTTAGGGATGAAGGAAGAGGGTGGAAGTTCCAGGAAGAGGCTGTCTCCTCGTTAAGAAGAGAAGGCAGGCAGATGCGTCTTAGCTCTTCGGAGAAGCTCCGGGAATCACAGCCTCAGCCATCAGGGAGCGCGCAGAGATGGGCCACCATGGCACGGTCATTCGCGCACATTGCGAAGGACATTCACGGCAAGACTCATGGCGCCCAGTTCACATTCCCCAGCCCACAGGCAGACTTCAGCAATGAGCGTGTGACCTGCAAAGGGGTCAGATCTTATTTTTAGAATGGTCTAAGAAGAAAGTGCAGGGGCTGTGTCCTCCTGGAACAGGGTCTCCGAGTGGGGCCGCACCCCGTGGAGTCTGAGGAGAAAACAAATCAGACAGTGGAGGCACAGGCACAGTATTCTTGGCCCCTGGCGGAATAAAAATGACCCTGCGAGCTGAGCATGGCGGGCGCCTCATCCCTGCAGTCCCTGGAAGACTGAGTCAGTGTTCCACAGTCTCCTCGGAGGCAGCAGGGCAGCCTCTCTTTGGTTAGCGTATTTCGCAGCTTTTGCTTTTCGTAGCTCTGCTTTAATACTTATATTCAGTTCATGCGACCAAGTGGGTTTAAAGATGGCCAACCCCGTTCAGCTAGTCTCTATGTGTTGATTCATTTCTTCCTGAGGCCTTCACGCTGGGGCCCCTGGTGGCCGACTCTGGAAGGCACTGGATGCAACAACCCAGCTGACTCAGGGTCCCTGTCCTCAGGTTGCCCTTGGGGCCCAGTGGCTCATAGTTTGGAAGTTACGCAGGCCGGGGCATGGTTGCGCTGTGGTATCTTCAGGAAGGATTCCAGGAGGAATGGGAGAGCAGCACCCAGCATCTCCCCACCGCACCCTTCCATCCCTCATATATATACAAGAGAAAGGTCTGGTCCTGTGAAGGAACTTTTTTTGTGTGGGTCATCTTGACTGGGCCAGAGTTTGCCCAGATGTCTGGTTAAATAATGTTCTTGGTGTTCCTGTGAGGGTGTCTTGAGTGTCACCATTTAGCTGTCTGGAGGAAAGCAGACACCTATGTAACATGGAGGGGCCTCCTCTAGTGGACTGAAGGCTGAGCAGGCCAGAGAGCTTCCCCTAGAGAGAAGAAATCCCTCCTGCCAGCCTCTGGGCTGGGACTTTCTCCTCCTCTGCCCTTTGGAGTCAGGCAGAAGCTTCAGCTCTTCTTGGATTTTGAGCCCGCGTGCTTTACACGGGAGCTACTCAGCTACATCTCCTGGGCCTGCAGCTGGCGGTCCTGGGACTCATCGGGCTCTGTAATCATAGAGCCAGTCGTATAAGAAATCTGCTGCCGTGTGTCTGAGTGTCCAGCTTGTATTGTTTCTCCAGAGAGCCCTGGTTAATACAGTACACGTGAGCGAATCCCGAGTTACGAGCCTATCCGCCTCCACGAAAGGTCTTTCCTGGGGTGGGTATTTTCTTCCTCCTCCATGGTGGAGGCTGCCTGCTGACCCTCCTCCAAGAGTCACTTCAGGATGAAGCAGAGCTAGAGTGCCACCAGGATGGCAGGAAAACCGGGCACGCCATTCGGCTTGGGTAGGAAGCATGGAGGCCCTCCTTGAGATGTTTAGGAGGCTTCCTGAGTACAAGGTCATGGTGCATTCACCTGCCAGAGGGAGGGAGGAGACCCGGAGAGAGCAGACTACAGTGGTCTCAGCGTAGCATCCTCCAGGCTGGACCAGGTCCAGAGCCTCTGCTGGGTCAGTGCCCATAAGGGTTGCAGAGTTAGTTCATCTGGAGACCCTCCCTAGGCCTGCCTGAGCTCCGTCCTGGGTGAAAGAATGTGCCAAACCTCAACAAAACTCAATCTCTGAGGGTTTACACACTCAGGACAACTACAGGGGTAAAATGGTAGCAGAAAGAACAGCTGAGATCTGGAACACACAGAAAGACAGGGAGAGAGGGAGGGAGAGAGAGAGACAGACAGAGACAGAGAGACAGAGAGAGAGAGATTGAGAAAGAGAGAGACAGGAAGTCACCCAGTTTTTAGAGGCATTTTGTGTAAAATGTGTAACTCTGTTGAACGAAGCCCGTTAAATAAATGATGCTGCCATGTACTGTGGCCTCATTTAACACAGAGACACAGCTTGCAGCTGCCTCCCTGCCAGAACAGGCTGCAGTGAAAAAATAATCCTATCAGGAGAAACCAGAGTGCATGACATCCAGCCGGGGCAGCTGGAACTTGCTGACAGCCCCGTAGAACACGTAGCTGGCCTGGCCACTTTTTTGTCATCCGCGGACGCAGTTTCTTGGCATATTTTCCTGGAGGATTGCAAGGACTGAGGAGCTGAGTGGTCAGGGTAAAGGGTCACTTCCGTGGGCTCCGTGGAGGGCGGTTTTGTCGCCTACACCTCCTGTGTGGATCTCGAGATTCCGGGAAGGCTCTAAAATTGCAACTTCTGTTCGGCGCCTTTAGATCCCAGAGGAGTAAACAGGGTAGTGTGCTGCAGGCTTTCACATTATCTGCAGGACACGCAGGTCCCTCCCACAGAATGCTAGGCTCGGCAGAGACCAGGGCAGGAGAGCGCAGCCTGCTACAGAGCAAGAAGACCTCGCTGTTGCCCTCAGCGGGTACAGTGCCTTGCTGCAGAGGCTGGATGTGTCTGTACCGAGTCTACACAGTTGGAGGCAGACTGGATTGCTTGGCAGTGGGGCCAGTGTTCCTGGTGATCAGGGGCTGGACTGGTTTCCAAGTTCTTGGCGTTCCATTCAGGAAGGAAAGGCACATACAGAGTTGCGAAGTAGCAAGGACGCTTTACTCAGAGCATCCGCCGCTTTGGTCCCCCCCGCCAGTCACCTGGGCTCTGCCGTATTGTAGTCCTCAAATAAACACACAGGAGGCTATATTAATTATGAAGCTGTTGGCCTTGCTTGTTTCTTACTGGCTAGCTCTGACTTAAGTATTTAATCCCATAATTGTTAATCTAAGTATTTCTCTTACCGGAGAACTTTCCGGGCTTCTTAACCCTATGGCGGTTACATCTTGACTCCCTGTGTTTCTCCTACCCAGAGTCCTCCTGGACTCCTAGTCCCACCTATCTTGCTTCCCTATTGGCCAACAGTGCTTTATTGACATACACACAGGACTTTCCCCATCACCTTCCACGTGTGCCTGGGGCCGGTGGTGGTCGAACCGAGGAGCAGCCGCTTTTTGGGCGCCTGGATCCGGGTTCCGGAACTTCTGACACCAAGATGATGCTGCAACGATAAACGGCACACTTACTGAAAGTAAAAATAAGTATTTATTGTAGAAATTACTCACAAGAGACAAACAAGTAACCCAGATGAGCCGAGTAGTTTTCCTTTGCCGAACTGGAAGCCGGAAGCAGGAAAAAAGAGACCGAGACTTCCACTGTTCAGTCTTTTATACCTTCCTCCGTAACCTTTTATTACTTCATTTATATGTGCCTCTAATAAGTCACATGGTTAATGGCGGAACACAGTTTCCTCCTACAATCCAGAAAGGAATATACTGTCAGGATTGACAGTGACATGCGTGAATGAAGCTGGGCCCCTTTTTATGGGGTCTAACCGCAAGACACATTTGATTACTAGGAGGGTAGTTTGTGTGGAACTCAATTATATTGGCAGATTATATCCTATAGCTGTTTCTCTATAGGGCATGCCCCTTCCCATATGCCTTTGGTTTTTTAAAATCATATGCATACCCAATTATTCATAGGTAAATAGAGGTAAGATGGTAAACAGAGGATCGTCTCTAAAGTTCATTCTGAGGACATAGCTAGCCTTATTGTACATATACCTCATACCAGTTCGGGCCGTCTTGGCCTTCCTGCTGGCTATGCCCAGAGGTAAACAATTGTATCAAATTTAAGTTTGACGGCCTTTAGGAGGAGGAAAAACGTACTCAATTGCTAAGAGAGCAGTGTGTGTGTGCAGCTCAGTGCAGTCTGTGGTCCTTGGTTGCTAACAGGTTGCCAGGTGCAGTAGCAGAGAGGGATGTGTGTGCATAGTATGTGCAGATGAGGGATCTAGGCCACCAAGTGCGTTATTAGAAGGGGTACATATGTGTACAGCCCAAAATGAGTAGAGTCCCAGGTTGCCAAACTATCGCCTAATGTTTGCCCGCCTCACCAGTAGAGAAGAGCTCACCCAAGAACGGAGACTCCAAAGTACCAGCTCCATAGACATAACAAAGCAGAGAAGACACCCTGGTCCCGTCCCAGGCAGATGATTCACTGATCTCCCGAAGGCTTCCAGGCCAAAGGGGCTGGTACCAGAGTGGCTGTAAGCGTTTGAGCACAGGGTCTCCTGCCAGAGACAAAGCTGTCTACGATTTCGAAGGTCCGGGCAGTTCTTCTCTATTTCCTTCTGTTTTGGGGGGTTCCATGCGTGGTTCTCAGATCCTTCTGGAAAGATAGACCTATTTGTACAGAGTCGGCTGACTTCTCTTCCACCCCTTTGACCAGTCACTTCCAGTAGCCCTTCATCCCGGCTCACTAAGAGTTTATTGGTGGCAGCAAGGCTCCTTGGACTCTTGGAACAAACACATAGGGTATGGTTACAGTATCAGTTACTTTTCTGTTGCTTTGATAAAATACCACGACCAAAAGCACAGGTGAGGATTTGAGTCCCTCAAACCAGGTTCCTTAAATCACACCAGAGTGCCCCGACATTACAGGGGAGAGGCCTGCGCCCGACCTCTCGACAAAACTCACCAGTTTTAGGCACCATCTCTTCGCCCACCGGGTGGGACAGATCAGATAATGCATTGCCCACGGCTCTCCATGGCAATCACACCCCAAATAAATGCCGCTCTGTCCACACCACGTGCCTCCCTAGGAGCAGAACCGCTGCAGGAGGGGTGGCTTCCAGACCCACAACCACACCTGTGCCCAGCATCAGTCACAGGGTGCCTCCTCCCTAATACCTCGCTACGGCCAGCCACATAGGTAACAACAGTGCTCACTATCCTGTGCTGACACTGGGTACCTGTGAATACGACTCAACTGCGTTTAGCTCTGCAAGCCCCGTGTTCCATGGGATACTTCCTGTCCTAGACAAGCTAGAGTAGTTGGTTACCCTCTCTTGGGGCCTTGGGGTCTTCCTGTCCGTGGTGGTTTGAACACTGAACTACCCTCATAGTCTTGGGCATTTGAACACTCGGTTCCCAGTCGTTGTACTGTTTGGGAGATCTTGGAGGTTTGACCTTGATGGAAGAGTTCTGTTACTGTGCATGGACTTTGAGGTTAAAAAGCCTAGAGTCATTCCCAGTGTGCCCTCTCTATGTTATGCTTGTGGTCCAAGATGCAAGGCCTCTTTTTTCTACCACGTCTTTGCTCTCCTATCGTGGATTCTAACTCTCTGGACCCATAAGCCCAAATAAACTCTAATATAAGCTTCCTTGGTGGTTGTGACAGCTTGGTGTTATGTCACAAGCTAGAGTCACTGGAGAAGAGGGAGTCTCAGCTGAGAAAATGCCTCAGTCAGGGTGGGCTAGGCAAACCTGGGGGGCATTTCCTTAATTAGTAATTGACGGGGTAGGGCCCAGCCCACTGTGGGTGGTGCCACCCCTGGGCTGGTGGTCCTGGGTCCCATAAGAAAGCAGGTTGAGCAAGCCATGGAGTGCCAGCCACTAGCAGCTCCCCACCATGGCCTCTGCATCAGCTCCTGCCTCCGGGTTCCTGCCCTGCTTGAGTTCCTGCCCCCTGACTCCCTTCGGTGATAAACAGCGATGCGGAAGTATGAGCCACATAAACCCTTTCCTCCCCAAGTTGCTCTGGTTATAGTGTTTCCTCACAGCAACAGAAAATAACTAAGACATTATCCTTAGTGAAGGAGCTACGCGGAGGTCCGAGGGTGCCTTGGGTATCCAGCATTCTCATCTGAGCCCCCTCTCCTCCTTGCTCACTGATGGAACCCCTAAGGCCCTCCGCCACCCCTGGCTCCCCGGGGCTCTTCTTGGGAATATGTGGCACGAGGAGACTGTCTGTCTGCTAAATTTGTGATGTGGAGTGGAGGTGGGAGTGGGGGACTTTCTCCGAGTGGGTGTGGCGTGGAGGCTGATCCCCAGGTTTCCTTGGAAACTGCAGAAAAGCAGCACCATGGTGACGGGAAATGATTTGTGATGCTCGTGGCCAAGACAGCCCCATGCACCGTGGACAGCCTTGCAGGAAGAGCTCCTGCTCTGGCCCAGGGCTCTGGGAGGACCCCGTTACAGGCCAAGGCTCTTTTCCCCTGGTGTGTGCAGAAGAGTGGCCTGGGGACCTCCAGGGCCTGGAGGGGAGGTGACTGGGACAGGCCACACATCTTGGCAACGGAAGCATTTCTGCCTCTTGCCAGCCAAGGAAGATCCCACATACCAACAGATGGGGCTGCAGATGGGGACCTGGGGACTTAACTGTTATAATATTAAGAAGATGTAGAAGCCGGGGGCGTACTCAGTTGGTAGAGTGTTTCTTTCTCTCACACACCCGAAGTCCTGGCTTCAATCACTAGCATCACACAAAACAGACGCGGTGACCCACACTTGTTTTAATGCCAGAGGAGCACCCAGGAAGTAGATACTGGAAGATGAGAGAGCCATGGTCATTCTCGACTACACAGCCAGGTAGAGGGCAGCCTGGGGTCCATGAAACCCCATCTCAGCTTACTGTGCAGAGAATAAAGGCGTTAGTTAAGGCACCTGCCAGCTGACCGCCACCCTCACTCTGGGAAATAAGGGACTCCACGGAGGCTTCCCCCGGGGAGCCAGTGCTCATATGTCAGTCACACACCCAGTTGGCAAGGGGTAGGAACACTCTAAGTGCTTGCCTAGCTGTGGGCCACCAAGGTCAGGACCTGCACAGCCTGCCAGGGGGTGGGTGACCCACTGTCATGGGTGGATCTGCCCATCTTCTGTCTGTGACGCTTTTCAAAGGCTGGGGCCTTTGCAACTCCGTCCCCAACTGCTTGCACGTTAACCGCACCATTGCCTGATGAAGGTGAGCAACGCGATATGGAATATAATATATTTATTCACATACAAGATGAGAGGCCCGAAAGCGTGGCAGGCTTCCAGACGATGAGAAGAGAAGACGAGAGATTCATTTCTCTTTCACTTCCTTTTATCCTAAATTTCCCTATCCCCGCCCTTAGGGCCGATAGCTTTGTGGGGCTCACCCCTGCAACTCCCCTTTTAGTCTAAACAGAAGATTTAAATTTGATACAAACTCACTCAAACAAATACAACATATATACATAGAGGGTGATAAGTAAGTTATAATCTACTTATATCCTAAGCTAAACGTATCTATCCCATCTAAATTCTCAACTTGTCTGAAAGGGATGCCCAAGTCTGAACACCTCCTTCCAATCCCAACCCTAAAATAATTGAAGACTAACACTAACAGTTACCCACCGTCCACAGGGACCTTGCCTCTCCCAAGGAACTTTTCAGTTCTGATCTGAACAAGCCCCCGGGGGGCCAGAGGCCCCATAGCCAGAGTGTCCTGCATCTCCCGGAAGTCCTTTGACAATTCAGAGACATTTGAGAGCTCAATGCCTGGTCACCACCAGTGTTAAATTCTGCAGGGGACTGTGGAAGGAATGCCCCCCCTCCAAAAAAGCTAAGCTCATTGCTCAGTTCTTCCTTGGGTGTGTCAACCACACTGGAAGGTGTGGCGTCCTCTGAGCAGGCCTGCCCAGGGAGCCCCAGGTCCCAGCCTCCTCCGTCTCTCTGTCTTCCAGGCAGGCTTGGCCTCCCCTGAGAACTCGGAACAGCTCATCATTGCCTTGGAGCCCGAGGCCGCCTCCATCTACTGCCGGAAGCTGCGTCTGCACCAGATGATTGAGCTGAGCAGCAAGGCGGTGGTCAATGGGTACAGCGCCAGTGATACAGTAGGAGCTGGGTTTACACAGGGTACCTCTGCTCTCTCTCTCCCTCCCTCCCTCCGCTCTCCCCTCCCAACCCCTGGGTGTGGCTTAGCTTGGATGGCAACTCAAGGCACCTCAGGCCGCAAGGGTCAGGGTACTCCATGGGGAAGGTGGGTCTTAAACCCCTCTGCTCGGTGTTCCTACCTGGCCCCTAAGGGGACTCCCCCATAAGCTAAGCTTCGGTTACCCTGGCTTGTCACCGAGACGGGGTCTTCTCTGTCACCACGTCAGTCTAAACCCACTTTGCCGGCTATGAATTCCTCCAGCAGGACTGTTGACTTGTTGCTGTCTTAGTCACTGGGCTGCTCCAGGTGTGTGGAGCTGATGAGATTGAGGGGAGGGATATGCCCTGTAACAGGAAGGGACTTGAGGGATGCTGGGAGAACCTGGAAGCCAGGTCCTTTTTGATAGGTTAAATAGGCACCTCAGCTATCTGTCCTGTTTTCCACAGTCCCCACACACCAGAAGCCTGAGTCTGCTCTGGCCAAGACCCCAGGCCCAGGCTAACCCTGAGAAGATGCACTTCCCATCCCTCTGTGCTGAAGTTTTCTTCAGCTCACTCCTCAGTCATCCTCAGGAGGACAACTCTGTCCTGGGAGACACCCTTTTCCTCTTAATCCCTTGCATTAGTTGTGAGTGGCTACGGGAGGGGGGGTGGCAAGAGCTATGCTTGTCCCCAAACTGCTGTCTCTGCTTTACCAGAATGGATGCAGAGACTTTCCTTTAGGACCAAGGGCTGGATTGGTCCTCATCCTCATTAATGGCCATCCTGGCCCTGCCAAGGGATGCCAAGGCCAGCGTTCCCTCTAAGGAACCAGGCGCTTTATCATTTCAAACACACAAAGGCATGTCTCCCTCCATTGTCTCACCGGGAAGAAGATGGAGCTAATTCTCAGTCCATAAACAGAGATTCATGTCAGGGTCTATTGATTTCGGCACAGCTTTTTACGTGTGGCTTAAGACTGGCCGCTGATCTCAAATGAGATCCTTCCTCAGGGTTTGGATTCGGGTGGGGGCGGGGATGGGGGGGTCCTTGCCTTTAATCTGCCCTGTCTCCTCATTTGCTGCACTGTCACGTGTGTCCTGTGGCTTGTGGATTTTGTGGCTGTCTGTGTGCACTCATGGGGGGGGCCGGGGGAGGGAAGGGGACACGGGAGGAGGGCGGCTTTCTTTTTGGTTTTTGGAGCCCCCATTGGTGACCAACATACCTTGGAGGGACAGCAAGGCAGGGATGTAGGTGTCAGCCTCAAATTGCAGTTGGACTGGCTGTCCCAGGGGCGGGGTGCTGTAGGGACACCAGGGGACATCTGACATGCTCGAGGGTCCTTCCTGATCAGGGGCAGCAGTGGACTGAGGCTGCTGCAGGGCCAGGGGGTGGGGGGAGCTAGCAGACATCAGCCTCCACCACTCAGGGTTTGCAGGGAACATTATGTTACTCCTGACGGGTTTTAATGGGACCCATAAAACATGCATTTGTCCAATCTCGGGCTTAATCTGCCTGAAAAAAAATAACTGGGATAAATTCTTTGCGAACTGGAAAGATGTGCCTTCCCTCGGATTATTATTATTTTTTTAATGAACTCCATTTGTGGCCACCTAAATTGTTTCAGCAAATCGGATCCCTGCTACAAGGTCCGAGACACTGTTTTTTGTTTGGCCCTCGCAGTGCCTGGGATTCAGCTTGGATCCTCCTTACATGCTAGGCGCGTGCTCCACCACTGAGCCACACGGCCAGCCTACTATAGCTCACCTGGAGCCAGTGTGGGAATTGGAGAGAAGCCCAAGTTCGGGGAGCCCTCCTGGGGTGACCCCTTTGACCACTCTAACCCCAGGCCCTGGAGAACTTGGGGCCACCTGGGAGTTGGTTTTGCAAACATTGGAGTTTGCTGGCCTGATCTCGAGAGAAGTTGGTTTTGCAAACATTGCCTCTTGTAGAAAGAGACTAGCCGGTCAAGGATGCAGCTAGGTGAGCATCCAGGAGGGGTCCACTGGCATTTCAGGAGGAGCCGGGTAGCTTAGGGGTTTAAAGACTGGAAAGGTGGGGAGTGAGGGAGGCGAGCAGGGCCTTTCTCTGTCGCCCCACGGCTGCTCTAATAAAATCATCGGTTGCAGCTGTCATCCAGTGACCGCCGGGTCTCACAGTGGGTGCCCTGCCTTTGTTATCACCCACTGTGCGCAGGCTTTCACTCCAGGTACACAGTGGTGGACAAGCAGGCCGCATTAGGGACGCAGTCCCTTCCTGCCCACGAGAAACCTAGACCACTAGTGACATCCCCATTTTATTAGAGCAGGACACCGAGGCCTAAAGGGCTAAAGTGATTGGCCCCTAAGTCCACTTGGCTGTGGACCGATGCTTCCAACGTACGCTTTCGCAATACCCTTCTTGTCCCGTTGCTCTGCTTTTCCAGAAGTCGCGAGGCAATCTGGTCTGAGGATTCATGTTGCCAAACAAGAAACCTGGGGCTTCCGGGTCCCGCGACCTCACCCTTCGCAGCTGAGCACAGGATGGTTACAAGTGCCCAGTCTGTCCCAAGGCGTTGCAGCCTAGCAGCTCAGCACGCAGGCAGAGGCAGAGGCGTCCCCTGGGTACCCTGGTGATGGATGATGCCGCGCTGGGATTCCCTAGGTTCAGATGCCGCCTCGTGGCTGAAGCGCCCCCCTGTGGCAGAAGTGCACATTGTCTCCAACAGCTGCAGTACCGGGCTCTGAAAGAGGAGACTAGGCCCAGCATTCCAAAGTTCCATGATGTGGGACGGTTTAACCTAGTGCACCGTGGGCACTGGCCCATTTCATTAACCCACTCCCCAGAAGAAAGTCACCACGGCCGAGAATCTCCTCGGGGCAGGCTTTACCAGCTGGGCTTGGGGCCAAAGGCGAGGGACTGGCTTTCTGGTTTCTGAGGTCGTGTTCATTAACCCTGTTAGCCAAGTGTCCGTGAATGTCCCGTCCCTGAACCCAAACGTGCCGTTGTTGTCCCCAGCAGCTGCAGACAAGGGTTGCTCCTTCATGCTTTCTGACGCTTGGTCCTTTCTCTTTCTGTTGGCCGCCAGCTAAGGAACATGTTCGGCGGAACCGGCAGAGTCGGACCTTCTTGGTGGAGAACGTCATCGGGGAGATCTGGTCTGAGCTGGAGGAAGGTAGAGTGTTGGGATGCCTTTGCTCCTTATTTTTTATTGTTTGTTTTCACTGCCGGCAGCAGTGCATTCGTATCCATACATTTGCACTTGGGGGAGATGCTCACTAGCAGGTGTAAGAACTCAGGCATTACCCTGGCCCGTCCCCGTCACCTGGCAGAATGCGCTCAGGCAGTGCCCTGGTCAGCCCAGGGTTCCATGGTTGCGTAGTCTGCATCCAGGTGCAAAGGACCCCTTTAAAAGCAGACTCCTTCCCACTTACGTTCTCTTTCTTTCTCTCTCTCTCCCGCTGTCTCCCTCTTCTCTTCTGTCCTCCCTCTGTCTCTGTGTCTCTTCACTTCTTCTCTTTCCGACCCCCTTCCCTTTCTAATAAAACTTCTCACTTAAGCTCTCTCTGCCTGGCATGTTTGCTCCTCCGCCTCCTCTGTCACCTTCGCCTGCCATGGAATCTGTCAAGGTTACCCTTGGGCTTTATCCTAACAGCAGGAGCCTTAAGTCCACTCGCCCAGGGATCCCAGGGATCTCCCTTCTTGGAGCTAGAGTTCTGCGTGTCAGAAAGTCACAGAGATGCAGATACTCTTCCCAAGGAAGATAAAGCAAGCTCCCCGGTTATGGAGGGAGGGAGCCGTGGGATGTGGCGGGGAGTCTTGTAGATTCTCTCTCCTGCTTCTCCTCGGTCCATGCTTAGCCCGTCCTCTTTAATGGGCACGGGCCGCATTCTCGTTTAGTTACTGAATAACTTGCTATGCTGCCAGTTAACCAAAGCCACTATGCTGGTGAGCATTGCTGATGTGAGTGGCTGAGTCCAAGTTATTCACCAGCTTGTTTGAAAGGCTTTCTGACATGCAGAATTCTAGCTCTCAGAAGAGAGATCCCTGGGATCCCTGGGATCGCTGGGCGAGTGGCCTTATGCCCCTGCTGTTAGGATAAAGCCCAGGGAGTAACCTTAAAGATGGATGGTGTATCTTAAAAAATAAATCACTGTCTCTCACGCCAGGTGACAAATACGTGGTTGTCGACAGTGGCGGAGGCACCGTAGACCTGACGGTCCATCAGATACGGTTACCGGAGGGGCACCTTAAGGAGCTGTACAAAGCAACAGGTGAGCCACCTCCTGGCTGGCTGGCTAGCTTTCCCAGCCTCCAGCCATCTCCAGTTTTCACTCATTTCAAATTCCTCCTCCCAGCATCACAAGCGTGTGGACTGCGGGTGGTGGGCGGCCCCATCCGTCCATTTACAACTGGAAAGCAAACTATATTTACGTGTTTGTTCTCTCAAAGAGAAGCTGCCACTGGAGTCTGGGCATCAGTCTGGGCGGACAGTGACTCCGTCTCTAGAGTTCTGCCAGGATTTGCCTGTGGCTTGTGAAATCCAATTCTACACGTAGACCAAGATCACCAAAATAAGGAGCATACCTTTCCATTTGGGAGGGGAGGTCTGCGGAGGCGATGCCATGGGCAGACTACACAGTCCTAACTGAGGCTGCTGGTTTTTCAGCCCTCGCCCGTGGGTTTTCCAAGAGGGAAGACTGCAATTTTTCCCCCCGAAGTTAGTTATCTGTACTGATTTTTAGTTCTGATGAAATAGATTTAAACAGACTGTTAGATTGCTGTAGGGGGAAAAATCCACAGAATAAGAGCCTAAAGGTATTGAGTGGGGATGATTAGCTGTTGTCTGAGTGCCAGATGGCCCCCAGTGTTCTTCAGAGAACCCGGGGAAGGCCCCGGTTTTAGCATTTTCAGTTTTTTTCTAACACCTCGGGCTCCCATGTTATTCTCTCCTCAGGTGGACCCTATGGATCTCTGGGCGTAGACTATGAGTTTGAAAAGCTGCTCTGCAAAATATTTGGAGACGACTTCATCGAGCAGTTCAAGATCAAGCGCCCAGCTGCCTGGGTTGACCTAATGATTGCCTTCGAGTCTCGCAAAAGGGCCGCTGCCCCCGATCGAACGAATCCCCTGAACATCACTCTGCCCTTCTCCTTCATCGACTACTACAAGAAGTTCCGGGGACACAGTGTGGAGCACGCCTTGAGGAAGAGCAAGTAAGTTGGCTCCCACTGGGCTCCAGAGAGTCTGGGGGTTGACGGGTAACAAACCAGGTGTGGACGGTGAGTTCTGTCACTACGCCCGGCGTGCTCCTGAGCAAGTGACTCAACTTAGCTAACTTTGACTGTGGGAAATGGGGATAATAATTCTACTCACCTTACAGGGTGGTTGTGGGAGTAGCATGAATTCCTATCTGTTAGGCACTTCACATAGTATCCAGGTCACAGAGAGCATACTGTGTGTTCCCTGAGAAACTAATAGCTTTATGAAAACGGGACATTCTGTTTGGGTGGTGTCTTAGTCGCTGCTGTATTGCTATGAAGAGACACCACCAGCAAGGGAACTCTTCTAAAGGAAAGCATTTTTAATTGGGGGCTCGCTTACAGTTTCGGAGGTTTAGTCCATTATTATCATGGCAGGGAGCGTGGCAGCCTGCAGGTAGACATGGTACTCGAGAAATTAGCTGAGAGCTACATCCTGATCCCTGGCTGAGAAAGAAGAGAGGAGAGAGAGCAAGAGAGGGAGACAGAGACAGAGACAGAGACAGAGAGACAGAGAGATACTGGGCCCTGGACTTTTGAAATCTAAAGCCCCCCCCCATGATACACTTCCTCCAACAATGCCACACCTTCTCATCATTTTCAAATTGTGCTGCTCCCTGATAACTTAGCTTTCAAACCTAATGAGTCTGTGGGGGGCCATGTGTCTTCACACCACCACAGGTGGCTACTCCGTTGGTGTCTAGAATGAGACTTGGTATATACTAGGTGAAAGACCCCCACTGGGAATCTGGTTTTCCTACTTCTCCAAGGCCCTGCCCTGCAACTAACTGTAGCTCAGTTTATTGCAAAATGAGCCCACAGAGAAGATTCAGATTAAAGCTGAAAAAAATTTTTTTTGGTTTTTTCAAGACAGGGTTTCTCTGTGGCTTTGGAGGCTGTCCTGGAACTCCCTTGGTAGTCCAGGCTGGCCTCGAACTCACAGAGATCCGCCTGCCTCTGCCTCCCGAGTACTGGGATTAAAGGCGTGCGCCACCAATGCCCGGCAAAGCTGAAAATTTTTTAAATCGGGAAAAAAAAGAAACTAAGTTTCTGATAACTTTTAAAAAGTGTCTTTTGAGCCATATGTGGTCACACATGCCTGTAACCCCAGCAATGTGGAGGCTGAAACAGGCATGTCTCCAGTTCAAGACTAGCCTGGGCAACACAGCAAGACCATATTTAAAAAATGACTTTTGAGGGCTGGAGAGATGGCTCAGGGGTTAAGAGCACTGGCTGCTCTTCCAGAGGTCCTGAGTTCAATTCCCAGCAATCACATGGTGGCTCACAACCATCTGTAATGAGATCTGGTGTCCTCCTCTGGCATGCAGGCAAACATGTAGAACACAGTATACATAATAAATAATTAAAATCTTAAAAAAGAAAACAAAACGACTTTTGATACATGTGTCCAAGGCGAAACAGTTGGCACGACCCTCTGCATGGTCACCCACCCCCTCTTAATGACCTTCTCACAATGGAAAAATGAAAGTCTGTCATCTGGCAGTCTAAGTCACCTGAGCCTGCCCCCCCCCCAATTATTTTTAAACCAAATCTCTGCTTATTATCTCATCTGTGAATGTGCCAGCGTGGAGTTCTCAAGGAGAGACGTTTTAATATGGCCACAGCACTGTGGCACTCAAAATGCACCATTCCTCGGTGTCACTGAGTTAGGGGCCGGGGGAGACGGCTCAGGGGTAAAACCCCTGCTGTGCAGATGTGGGGGACCAGCGTTTGGATTCCCCAGAGCCGATGCCAAGCCGGGCACAGGAGCATACAGTCTGAAATCCCAGCATTCCTACAGCAAGGGAGGAGGCGGGCGCAGGAGAGACCGCGGGAAGCCTGTGGGCCTGGCAGCTTGACATGCTCAGTGGCGAACAGTTTCTACCCCTGCCATAAGCACCGCGACCAATCTCAAATAAGGCAAAAGGTGGGGACTCGCTGTGGCGTCTCTTCCAGCCTGCTTGGTCCCACAGTCGCTGCAGCCCCAAATAATATTAGTTATAAAACTGTTGGCCGATGACTAGGGTTTCTTATTGGCTAGCTATGTTTTTCCACGTGGTTTTATCTTACCGGAGAAGGGTCCGGACCTTCTACTCCTTTGTGGTCTGTAATGTTTAGTCTTCCTTCCCACCTCCTGAGTCCTGTTTCCATTTTCAGCCCCTAAATAACACACAAGACACTATATTAATTAGGAAGCTGTTGGCCGTTTGCTTGGTTTCTTATGGGCTAGGTCTGACTTGTTTATTAACCCATTATTACTAACATGTATTTATAAGGACTTATCTTTCTGAGGACGCACTCTTGAGCACCCATTGCTCCCGGGAGATCACATGACAACCAGTCTCTTCACTACATTTAGCAGAATCCTCCTGGACTCCTAGTCCCACCTATCCTGCTTCCCTATTGGCCAACAGTGGTTTATTGACATATACACAGAAGGACTACCCACATCAGTGGTCTACATGGTGACTGTCCCTGGCAGGCCCTCTCTGCCTACCTTTCCCAGAATTCTCCTCATCCAAGCCCCGCCTATCTTCCTGCCTCATTGGCCAGACAGTGTTTTATTCATCAACCAGTAAGAGAAACATATATACAAAGGACATGCCCCATCAGGGACTGGCATTTGAGGCTGTCCTTTGACCTCCTCGTGTCATGCATACTATGACATGTATATGCCCACATGCCTACATGAGAGTGCATACACATTTATACACACACACACTCACACACATTCTCTCTTTCACACACACACTCCTCTCTCTCACATTCTGTCTCTCACACACATTTTCTCCCTCACACATACACATTCCCCCTTCTCTACACACACACACACACACACACACACACATTCTTTTTCTCTCTCACACACAGTCCCACTGCTTTCTCTCCCATATATATTCCCTTCCTCCCTCCTTTCCACTCTCTCTCTCTCACACACACACACACATGCATATTCCCTCCAACACACGTACACACTCCCTCTGTCCATCCTTCTCTCTCTCTCTCTCTCTCTCTTTCTGTCTCTCTCTTACACACGCACACATATTCCCTCTAACACACGTACACACTCCCTCTCTCCATCCTTCTCTCCCTCTCTCTCTCTCTCCCTCTCTCTCTCTCACACACTCACACGCATTCTCTCTTATACACGCACACACACACCCCTGTCTCTCACATTCTCTCTCTCACACATACACTTTTTAAAAGCCAGCCATCACTATCAGTCTGTCTGTCTCATTTCTCTAGCTTGTGTCAGCATCCTAACGAAGGCTGCACAGCCTGCCTTGCTGTCAAGCCCCACCCGCATACAGTCTTCCCTCCTGGTTTCACCCTTCTGCAGTGTGTCAGTCGTCACGGTGATTGGCCGCCCCGTTTGCCCACAGGTTCCATGGTCTGTGCTTCTGTCCCTTGAGTCTGTGCTTCTGTCCCTTGGGTCTGTGCTTCTGTCCCTTGGGTCTGTGCTTCTGTCCCTGTTTCGCTTTCCCAAATAGTCTTAGGTGGATTCGAGTCTGAATTTTTGGCAAATCTACTTAATATGTGGCAGTTTTTGTAAATGTATGCTTATTAACACATAATGATTATATGTAGTAATTATATGCAATAACTTCATTGTGACATTTTCATATATGTAAAGAAAGTTTTTCCTCGGTGGTTTGGTGACTTCAGAAAAGAGAATAAATGATGATTCTTCCTTCCAGTTGTCTTTTTAAAAAGTGGCAGTGGTGGCACACGCCTTTAATCTCAGTATCTCAGTACTAGGGAGGCAGAGGCAGGACACTCTCTGTTTGGTGCCAGTCCTGTCTACACAGGGGGTTCTAGGCCAGCCAGAGCTACATCATGAGACTGTCTCAAAAAACAGAGTAGGTCCTAGCATCCTTCAAAATGGTAATGAGTTAACTATGCAGGAAAATGTGGATTTAAGCTTGCTTCGCATCTTTTAAACCATGCTGACTGTGGCCTCGCTGATGTCCCACCTTGGACGGAAGCAGCCTCATCTACTTGGCTGCAGTCCCGTTTGATGCAGCAACGACCCCTGCTCTGTGAAGACCAAGACACTCTTGATTCACCTCACACACTCCCTGCCCTGGACCTGGGCTGGACCAGTTCTCTCTAAGAAGGCTTGGTTCCTTTTAGTGAGAAACAAAGTAGCTTTGACCCAGGATGTCCTGCCCTCTGCGAAGGGCCACATCAGGCTGACAGTCTTACTGGGGTGTTGTTTTCTCGGCCGCATTTGGTTCCCTCTGGCTTGAGTCCCAGGTCCTGGATGCACAGTGCCTGGGGCCGTCCAACCCTCCCGTGGTGGAAACCAGCCAGCCACGATGAGCTGTAGGGTCATTCCACACCCTGCATTGTCCTTTGGCTTTTGCCATGGAAACCTGTCCTGGCCCAGGAAACCTGGTGTCGTCATCCAGATGTGTTGCTGTTGGTGTGCTCTTTGCTTCAGAGACTGAGGTGTCCCTGGACTTCTGAGCAGGGCGGGGTCTCTACTGAGGGTCTGGGAAATGGAGAGTTTCCAGCATTAAGTTGGGACAATCGAGAACTTCCCCAACTGTTTTCACAGACACGGCATGCACTCAGTCTTCATACACATCCCCCCAATCCCAGAGGGGCACTAAGGTCAGAACTGTTAACCTTGGCTTCCAGCCACAGAAACCAGGCTCTGAGAAGACGGAGGGCAGAGCCCCTGGCTGCTGGGTAATGGGGCCGCACCACAGCATGGCCTCCCTGGCCGGTGCTCTTCCTGCTCCACCCGGCTGCTTCTGGCTGTGCTGGGCCTTGGCTAAAGACCTCAGAAACAAACCCAGGGCGATCCTGTACGATTAGGTTCATCTCTGTGATGCCCACGGGGGCCTGGAGAGCCGGGGAGGTGCATCCGGGCACAGGCTTGTAGCTCAAGTCAGTACAGCACACATGTCCTTCCCTCTAACATGCTCGTATCCAACTATCACCGGGTGGAGAAACGCAAGATGGAGAGTCTGTATTTACCTTCTGGTCTCTTGCGATAGACATCGACCTTCATTGTACTGGGGGGGGGGGCGTTGCTGCTGGTATAAAGCAAAGAGAAACAGATAAGGAGATGTCTTAGCTCCAGCTTCTGAGGGTCCAGGTCCAGGCAGTTGAACTTACAAGGCTTTATCCCAACGATGGGAGAGACGGTCTCTCGGGCCGCACATCTGTGCAGATCCACCTGGGCCGCACACGGTAGGGGTGAGCCCACAATACTCTCCGTGCCCCAATCCCACTTCCGACACCAGCTGACGGAGATACCGCTATCTGAAAAGGGAGGCCTAATAGATTTATTGAATATAGAATTTGCTTACAGGGAGACAGGAGCTCTAGGAACGCGGCCAGCTTCCAAGAGCTTTTGCTTTCTCTTTCCCTTGCGTCTTCACCTGTCCCCCCCCGTACCCCTGTCCACGCCCTTTGGGCCGTGGACAGTATTATGGGCTCACCCCTACGGCACACCTGTGCACATCCACCTGGGCGCCGTGCGCTCGCTCACTGCTTGCCCCTCTTGATGCTGTCTACCCCCAGTGTGGATTTCGTGAAGTGGTCCTCCCAGGGGATGCTGAGGATGAGTCCGGATGCCATGAACGCCCTCTTTAAACCCACCATCGACAGCATCATCGAGCACCTCCGTGAGTATCTGTTACGGGATCCCCGCTCTTCAAAACCCCCAAGTAACACACAGAGACTCTATTAGTTACAGTGCTGCTGGCCGATATGTAGGGCTTCTCATTGGCTAGCTCTGTCTTAAATATTAACCCATAACTACTAATATGCATATGTCTATAAGGTCTTATCTTACCGAGAACGCCAGACTCAAGCGTCCTCTCCTCCCTGGATCACCTGGCGACTCCCTACTACACTTCCCAGAATCCTCCTCGACTCCTAGTCCCACCTATCTTGCTTCCCTATTGGCCAACAGTGCTTTATTCATCAGCCAACCAATACGACAAACATACACAGAAGAACATTCCCCACCAAGTATCAGCTGGATCTTTGGCCACTTGTGGGACAGAGCTGGGAACAGGGACAGCATTGAGGCAGCCCAGCTGGTGGATAACCTGGATCTTTAAGCTACAAGGCTGGAGCCTCCTGGAATGGGCAGGGATTGGTCACACCATGAGCGTGGCCGCTGGGCATGGCTCTGTATGCTGTTCCTCTGATTCTGCAGAGGCTTCCCTTACCCAGGCTTCCCTTTGGCCTTGAAGGTCAGAGGTCAAAGAATGCCGAAGCCATGCCTCTCTAGAGCGACAAGCCCTGGGAATGTGTCTTGTCTGAAGTGCCGAGAAAACTTGGGAATCCTTGCCTCACTGGGAAAGGAGGAACTGTTTTGTGAACCAGGGAAGGAGTCCAGCAAGACAGTCTGTCCGTCCATGCTGTCGTCTCGTCTGGTTACCCTCGCCCAGAGGCACACAGTAACCTGGCAGGGATTTTTCTTTTCTCTTCAGGATCCAAATATCATGCCCTTTATGCATCATTTGTGACTGTCAGAGACAGTCACTTCTAACAGTTTGGCCACGTGCTTAAAGGAATGCTGTTGTTAGGAAGAGTGAATTCCAGGGAAAGTCACCACCACCACCTCTGACAAGTTAGGCTTCGACTTGGCACAGCCCTGGCCTTCCTTCCTAGGCAGACAGTGTGTAAACCTTTCTTCATAGGACTAGTTCAACACAAATGCAGTTGGATGAGCCGGGGCAAAGCTAGTGTCCTGATGCTGGCTGGTGCTCACGTTAGCTGACTCCCATTGGCTCAGACGAGAGGGTGGGGGCGCTTCTACGTTCTCCGCCTTGCACCAGGCCATGCTTTGGGTAACCCGATCTCCCCTCCTTCTTCCCTCTCAGGGGACCTGTTTCAGAAGCCCGAGGTCTCCACTGTCAAGTTCCTCTTCTTGGTGGGCGGCTTTGCAGAGGCTCCCCTTCTGCAGCAGGCGGTGCAGGCTGCCTTTGGTGACAAGTGCAGGATCATCATCCCCCAGGACGTGGGCCTCACCATCCTCAAGGGTGCGGTCCTCTTCGGCCTGGACCCCGCGGTCATCAAGGTGCGCCGATCTCCCCTCACCTATGGGGTGGGCGTGCTGAACCGCTATGTGGAGGGGAAACACCCTCCGGAGAAGCTGCTGGTGAAGGATGGCACCCGCTGGTGCACCGATGTCTTTGACAAGTTCATCTCCGCTGACCAGTCCGTGGCCCTGGGGGAGCTGGTCAAGCGCAGCTACACGCCCGCCAAGCCCTCCCAGCTGGTCATCGTCATCCACATCTACAGCTCCGAGCAGGACGACGTCAGCTTCATCACCGACCCGGGGGTCAGGAAGTGCGGCACGCTCCGCCTGGATCTCACAGGGACCAGCGGCACGGCAGTGCCCGCCCGCAGGGAGATCCAGACCCTTATGCAGTTTGGGGATACCGAGATCAAGGCCACGGCCGTCGATGTAGCCACCTCAAAGAGCGTCAAAGTGGGGATTGACTTCCTAAATTACTAACTTAACCGCCCCTCCCCCGCCCCATGCAGCCTGGGACTCCTCCGCCTCCGCATTCGCTGACCTCGACCTTGACTGTTCTGTCCCTGACCTTGACCCTTGCCATTGCCCGCCTGAATTTTAGTAGGAAAGAGGAGAACCAGGGAGAGAATTAACCAAGGATTTATTTTTGAGGGTACACTGGAGTCGGAAAAACTCAGAGATTAATACCAAGGTCTGGAAATGGGAAGTCCAGGGATCCTAGAGCAGGTTCCTGAGTGGTAAAGACCGCCCTTGGTGAGACAGTTGGTGCAGCTTGCCACGAAGAGGTCCCTGTAAGGGAGCACTGAGGACACCCACTGCCATCTCTTGGGATTCGAAGGGATCTTCTTTGAAGGTCTTTGTAAGCTAATCCTCCTGGATGACAGTGACTAGGAAATACCAGCTCCCCACAGTTAGTTTCTTCTCTTTATCATGGGACTCAAACTGGTGACTCAGTGGCCGCTTACAGTATTTGTTTTAAATTTTTTAAAGCCAGTGGGAGAAGACTGTCTACACTGGGCTCTAGTTTAGGTTCTCATACAATTTAAATTCCAAGGAGGTTCAGTGAAGGATAGGACAGCCTCGGCTAACTCAACCAGGATAGGATGGATAGGACAGCCTCAGCTAACTCAAGCAGGGTTGGGGGTTGGGGGTAAGAGGGCTGATACCTCCGTTTTCCAGAGCAGGTAAAACTTCCTTTGGAGGAAATGCACACTGAAGAGTCAGTGACTTAACCCAAATTAGAGCAGTCCCTTTCTATCTGTAGAGGATACATTCTGAGGTCCCCCAGCGGATGCCCAACGCTGTGGATAGTACCAAACCTTATTTATACTATTTTTTTCTAGACTTACACATCAATTAAGTTCAATTTAATAAAGTAGTAAGAGATTAGCAACAATAACTAATGATGAAATAGGACACTTATGAAAACACTTTGATAAAATTTATATGAATGTGGTCTATTGAAAAATATACTATACTATACTATACTGTTACGCATTTTTGGACCACAGTTAACTGGGGCTCATTGAAAACCCAGTAAATGCAAACACAGATCAGAAGGTAATTCTTAAAAACAACAAACCTTGGGTTCAGAAGTACTGCATAATTTCAGGTGATCTTAGTAGGAATTTTGTTTGAGAAAGTGAAGTTTTGTTTGCCCTGTTTTTATGTGTCATCAAGCGCACCCCCCCCCTTGCAAAGCATGCACATTTTCAGTTAACCCCTTCCTTCCATCTGTTCTTCATTCCCCAATAAGGAAATATGAAAGGGGGTTCTGTTCCATGAAATGTGTCCATCGAATCTTCAGCTTTTCAAACTTACCTAAAAAAATAGTGTGTAAACCTAGACCTGGTAAATGAAAGCAGCCTTTTTAAAAGCCGGTCTGCGGCCCGTCTGCCGCAGAATTGCCTGGGTGCTGGTCAAGAGCAGGTCCTGAATCGAACCCCTTTTAGCCAGAGCTGAACCCAGAGAGACGGGATCTGCGTTTTTTAGTGTTCAAAATGTGGGATTCTTGAGCCTGAGGGTTTGTAAAGCTGAAGTGACCACAGACCACAGTGTGTGGCTTCAAACCTTCCTATCAGAGTTCTCTTAGGGAAGAATGTGTATACGAACACACCCTGCCCTCCACATGAGAGGGGTCGGAGACCCACCTGGCCTGGCGCAGGGGGGGGGGCAATCTGTCACAGGAAGGATCAGGGAAGGAAAAAGATGTCACAAAAGAAACCTCTGAGAATGAAGCTGCCCGAGGAGCAAGCTAGGTTCTGTGTTCCCACCTTCCCTCTGGGCAAAGCCAGTCTGGACAACATTCAGGAGTCAACCGAGGACAAGGAATGAAGATCATAGTCCGTTTGATCTGTTCAAAGTTGCCTTTCCCACCTGCTGGAATTCGTTCTGATTTCAAATCACTGGAGGCATGCATGATGGATGGATGGATGGATGAATGAATGAGTGAGTGAATGAGTGAATGCAGAACAAGGGAAGGGACTTCAAATGCAAGTTGGATTTGTGAACTCATCGCCATAGCCAATATGTAGATTTTAAGTAGCATTTTGAATTCCAACCGACTGTCTTCTTTTTCACACCACTTGCTGCAGAATTCCCTGCTAGAATGTGAAAACGCTATCAAACCATAGAACAGGAGATGGGAGCCCCAAACTGAGTGGCAGGGTCTCAAATCCGGGGCATCAGGATGCTTGCTAGGACTCTCCTGCCAACTCTGCCTCAGAAGCTCGTGGGGTTTCCCTTTGGTGTTTCCAGCCGCCGCAGTCCTCAAAACAGACTTTCAATTTTGTTATAATGGATATAATTTTATGTACATATTACTACTAGAATCTTGTACAGAATCTTTATCTCTACCGCGTGTGCTTGTTTGAAAAGGAAAGCACTCTTAGTTTTTTGGTTACTAACACTGCTGCCTGAAAGCTCGCTCCACGGCTTCTTTTCTCAATTGCTCTCACCGATCACGCTCCGTGCCGATGCCCTGCAATGGACTATGCATGCAAGACCGAGCAATAGACAGAGGTGCCTTGGGTCAGAGTACTCTGGCCACACCCGCCCACCCGCCCGCCCACCCGCCCGCCCCGCCCAAAGCTGAGCGGCTTCCGCATGAAGAGCAACGTATCAATTCTCCTGTCCAGACTATGGCAGCTGGAACATCCTGGTTCTGTAAAAGCGATGCCTAACCCAAACGCTTTGTGTCTCGCAGGGTTGTTGACCTCTCCTCTCTGGTAAGGCTAAGCTTGGCATACTTGGTGATCAGAGGAACCCGGTGGTACACAAACCGAGGTTTCCGTTGGGTTGCGTAAGTGAGCGGGAGAGGTTTATAGTTCAGCCCGTCTTCTCCTGGCTAATGTAAAGCACTCCTCACCGTATGCTAGATCTGCCTCCCTGCTCTGATTTTCAACTTCAACGAGCTGATAGAAATCTGCAGTGTTAGCAAACTAATGATGGAGAAAGGGTGGTAATTCCTTCTGACCCAGAGTTGCAGCCCCAGCAGCCAAACACTTAGTAAAGTCCTCCCATCTATCCCCCACCCAGCTGAAATACTCTTATAGGACACTGGGTAAGTACACTCAGAACACATTCCCCAGCTTAGAAAGTTCTAGAGGGTCTGTGGTCTCGGCCAGTTGACCTTTGTATTTATTATCTGGCTACTTAACTGCCTTTCCTGTACACAGTAGGCACTCATAATTGCAGAATGACCGGTGGCTTACCAGCAGGAAAGGGGAGGTGCTTCAGAAGCAGCCCTGGGAGCGATGGCTGAGTCCAGGTTACAGAGCCTGCCCGCCCCCCACCCTTAGGATGTTACTTAGACCAAGTTTAGCTTTTAGAGTCCAGGTCTGGTTAACTTGCCAGGGTAGCAAAGAATTGCATGCACCAATATAAACAGGAGTCAAAATGCATTATTAATCGAAGATCGAATTTCACATTGTAGTGATGTAATAGTTGTGTTTAGGCTGCGTAGAACGTATGGTGGGGAATGGCTTAAGTGAATGGCTAGTATAAAAGTCGTTGGCCATAATATCTTAAAACGCCTCATCTGCTCGAAATATGGAACAGTATCCTAAGATCTCAGCCACTGGGAGTCTTTGTTCACAACAAGACAGAGCCAAACTTCACAGAATTTTGCAGCAGTCCACGCCTAGACAGGATTGTGTCTGCAAACAGATTCTAATAAAGTGAAATTCTGAATTCCAAGTGGCCTAGAATAGTTTGTCTCATTTGGGGAGTACAGGTGGAATTGTTGGGGGGGAATCATTGCTTTCTCCTGTCTCAAGTCCCTTTTCAGGTGGTGCAAGCTTGACTGACAGCCCTTCCTAGACCGGGAACCAAAGCTCCACGGATGCCCAGAGTCCTGTCTCCTCCAGACCGGAAGCGTGGTTTAGCAAGAGGGAAGGCAGAAGGGCAGAGTGTTGGATGGTTCATGACATCCAGTTGAAAATCATTAAAAGCAGATGAGGCCTCTTGGTGCCTGCCCTCAGGGCATCCCTCCAGGCAGAGACTAGCAGTCTAAATCCTTGGCTTCCTCCCTGGCTCTACCCCTGGGGCATGTTCTAAATTGGCTCTAGAGGTGTCTGGATGGCTGGAGGTGTGGTTCAGGAGTCCATGGGGGTGAAAGGTGGTATAGGTAAAGTCTTAGCCAGGTCCTCCTGGCCACTCCAGGGAAGCACACTAAACAGGCTTCAGGTGGGCCATGCAAAGCAATCCCTCCTCCTTGGAGACGGGGCGGAGCCATCCATATCCCATTTGGTTCACACATGAAACGCTGCCTCAAGCCATCTTCCCTCCCATGAAACCACTGCTAGAGAGGAGTAAGAACTTTCTCAATGTCGGGAAAGCGTTTGTGTCCTGGGACACTGGGGAGGGGGGGAGGGGACAGGACAAACCCCAGCTCTCCTAATGGAGAAAGTTGTATGCAGGGGTGCATTAGGCTGGGGAAGGTGCCTGTGTTTGGGAAGCCAACTGAGACACACAGATGGCCTCCATTCCCTGACTGCCTCCTGCCCCTTGCTGGCCCTCACATGGCGGGGGTAGAGCCCACTGGCAACCTCCAGGAGGAAATGGGGATGGCTTTCCGCACACATCCCCTCTGTGTCCATACCACCGAACAGGAGCTGCAACCTCCCTTGACGGTCGGTCCCGCTTCCCCCCCCCCGGTGGGAATGAGGAACTCAAGCCACAGGCATGAGCTCCCAGAACAAACGTTTATGGCAAACGGCTGGACTTCGCAGTGCCCGGGAGAGCTAGCCGCTGAGGGGCCAGCGGCCAAGTTCGCGGGGGTTTAACAGCTTCTTGGTTCTGGTTCCGGTGTCGTCCCCCACCCCCCACTCCTGATCCCCACGTAGGGGGCAGGGCCAGCCCCAAATATCCCGGATGAATCTAGAATTTGCCCCGCCCTGCTAGAATGAGCTCACAAAGGCCCAGGAGAGCCGGTGGGCGGGCAGCAGGCCGTGTTGTCTGGTTCCCTTAGGGGTGCTCGGCCTGCACAGGTGAGAGCAGGGGCCCCGTGGAAGCGGGTGGAGAACGGTCCTGTTCTCTCCTGGACCCTGCCTTTCTTCAGAAATCCCTCCAAGCGACCTCCCGCCCCATCTCCCCGCAGGATGGCCTGGTTCTAACCACCAGGAGTCACATTGTAGACAATATGTCCTGCCTCCTTTCACTCCAAAAAGTATCGCTTTACAGAGATACACCGCCTTGGCAGGATAGAGCATAAATGAGTCACAGAATCCGAATACAAACCTTGGCTGGTTGTGGGAGACCATTGATGATCCCTGGTGAAGGGAGGGTCTTTGCTCCAGAGGTAGCATCCACGTAGCTGGTACTAGAATGTTTGGGGTGTGTGTGTGTGTGTGTTTCAGATCCCACCAAGACTATAATTGCTCTAAGCCTTTGTTGTGTGTGGGGGGGTCTCATATGCATTGAATAAAATTCAGAAGGGACCCAACCAAAAGATACCAGTAACATCCTGTCCCCGTAGTTATGACACCCAGATATTCTGAGATATTTCCAGATATTCTGAGAGCAAAGGGGGGCAGCAACCCGAGTGGCTGCCAAACCAGATTCTGCCTGGATTAAGAGTGGGCTGTGGAGAAATGGGTTTCTTATCATTTATCTTATCATTGTGCAAATTTCCTGAGCCTTGCATAGTGGCTATTGGGTCTTGCTCATCTGCATACTCACAACTCTGTCTGTTTTATGGCCATATATTTTCTGGCCATATATGCATATAATTTTATTAGATCGATGAGTGGGTGGATGGATGCGTGGATGGATGGGTGGGTGGGTGGACGGATGGGTGGATGGACGGATGGATGGATAGGTGGATGGATGGATGGATGGATGGATGGATAGGTGGGTGGATGGATGGATGGATAGGTGGATGGATGGATGAATGGATAGGTGGGTGGATGGATGGATGGATGGATGGATAGGTGAATGGGTGGGTATATGGATGGGTATCTCTGGAAAGTGAGACTCTCTTAGGTGGGGATATGCACTAAGCACAAAAAAAGCAATGAGCCCTTGGTACCAGGTCTCTGGTTTATAACTAAACTCTGTCAGCGAGCTTTGGGTGTGATGGTGGCATTGTCTCTCAGTCAGGGCCGGACAGAGTCTTTCTTTTACACCCAAGAACTCTTGCTCATGTGCACTAAATCCCTGAGGCAGGGACTCTTGAGACCGTCTCATGTCTCTTTCCCTACCCTGGCAGAGTAAAATGGAGTCTCCTGAGACCTTCATGAGAAAAGTACCTATCACACCAGGATACAGCGGTAAGTGACATTCATAGCCGTGGTCCTGGTCTCTGGCTTGCCTTGGTTATTGTCTGTGTCTAACCGGGCCGGTGCTAGCACTCTTAAAACACACTTGAGAGCACCCAGTGCTGCACAGCTAGTCTTGGATGATTGAGAAGAAAACACTTAGGCCAAATCCTTCAGGAGTCCTGGGACACCAGCAGGGTGGCTTGTGGATCAGGATAGAAGACAGTGAGTGAGGCCAGACAAAGGTGGATAAGTTGGGGCTCTGTGCTTCCTGAGTTGTGCTCTCCCAAGTCTCCCACAAGGGCGGCTCTTGTTTCTCACTCCTTCCCATGTCTCATAGAGGGGGAGTGACTTCCTGTCCTGTTGAGGTTGTAGCCCTGAAAGTCCTGTCTAAGGAACCCTTTCATTGTTGAGAAACGACACCGTCGGTTGGTCACCGTTTCTTTTATTATTTATAATACATCCTGACTATAGTTTTCCCTCCCCCCTCCCCGCCTACCACCTTCCCCTCCCCCACTCCTTTGTTTCTGTTCAGAAAGGGGGCAGGCCTCCCATGGGCATCAACAAAGCGTGGCATTATCAAGTTGCAATAAGACTAAGCACCTTCCCTTGTGTTAAGGCTGGGCCAGGCGATCCAGTATGAGGAGTAGGTTCCCGAGAGCCGGCTAAAGTGTTAGGGACAGCCCCCTGCTCCCATTGCTAGGGGTCCCACAAGTAGACCAGGCTACATAACTGCCATATATATGTGGATGGGCTAGGTCAGCCTTGGTCTCCATTCCTAAAGGCTCTTCCTCCTCAGGCTCCCGAGAACTGTGGACACCCCTGTAACTGACCCTCTCTCAGTGGGCCATCAGTCTTCATATATAGCTATTTTCAGAAGGGGCTATGCTTGAAAACATTCCAAGGCTTCCCAGGCTCACCCCTGGTCCTACTAAGCTAGGTAAGAGAATACATTCGGATTCAGATTCAGTTCAGATTTACTTCACACCTCCCTTTGCCCACTGTCTACAAGACTGGAAATAAACTTTTTTTTTCCCCCACGGGAAAGGAATTCTATAAAATGGCGACCAGCCCCATCGTTGATTCTTCGAATGGATGTTTGTCAGTGTGGGCATCTGGGATCCTTTCCCCTCTCCCTCTTAGTAAGGACATTTTGGCTTTAGGGACAGGGTAAACATGGAATGATCTTGCTCCCAGCTCATTAGTTCTGTTTTCTAAGACCATGCCTGTAGGTATGGGGATTAGGGACTTTAATGACTTTGGGGAGGGATACCATCCATGCAGGGTTGGGAATAGTCTCTAGTTACTTGTTGCTGTGACCGAGCATCTGATGAGGGACGACGGAAGGGAGAAGGGACTTACTTTGGCTACAGTTTGAGCTACAACCCAAAGGCCTGGCAGTGGGACTCATGGATGGGACTCCTCACACTCTGATGGACCAAGATGCAGCAGCCCTTTTCTTTTTGGGCCACCAACCAGCTCCCAAATCTTGGTATGGGGACTTATTAGTCGTGAATGCTCAGCCTCATTTTAGCTCTTATTTTAATCTTTCTCTTTATCTACATTTTTGCCTTAGGGCTTTTTAATCCTTTCTTTCTATACATCTTACTTTCCTGCTGTCTCTATGTCTGTCTGTCTGGCAACTATGTGCTTCTGGCCCTGGACATATCCCCCTCTTTCTACAGATTCTCTTCTCCCTTCTCCTCTTCTCCAGCCTAGATTCCTCCTCCTATTTATTCTCTCAGCCTGCCAGCCTCAATGAACCACTGGCCAATTTTTTTATTAGACCAATCAGGTGCCTAAGGCAGGCAAGGTTAAACAGCAACAAATCTTTACATAATTAAACAAATGCAGCATAAACAGATGTAGCACACCTTCACACAGTTAAAGTAATATTCTACAGCATAAACAAATGTAACACATCTTTACATAGTTAAAGTAATAGTCCATAGCATAAACAAATGTAACACACATTCACACAGTTAAAGTAATAGTCCACAGCATAAACAAATGTAACACACCGTCACACAGTTAAAGTAATAGTCCATAGCATAAACAAATGTAGCACACCTTCACACAGTTAAATAGTCCACAACACCAAGATGCAGAGAGAGGACAGGAAGTGGCGTTGGATGATAAACCCTTAAAGCCCTCACTCCAGCTTCCTGCTTCCTCCAGGCACCCACTTCCTCTAGACTCCCACTTCCTCCAGCCACCTCCCCCACTTCCTCCAGCCAGGCCCCACCTCCTAATGTTTCCACAATCCCCTGGATTAGCACCATGGGACCAAGTTTCAAACACATGAGCCTGAGCCTGTGGGGACACATTTTACATTCAAATCATAACAGGTGAGGGATCTGTGACTTCAGCCCTGTCAAGGTCAGTCTATTAGATTTTTCTAGAAGGTGCTTTTTTGTGGGTAAAGGATTTGGAGCTGCTACATTCAGGCCTAAAGCCAGATTTTATTTTTTAAGCAACAAAGCAAAAACAAAACAAAAACGCCACAAACAATGAGCTACAATACTAAGAGATACTTATTTACTTTGCAGCTTGGAGCTAAGTTCTTAACCAGTTTTCCTCGTTTGCTCTTTTAAAAAAATGGTTTTATTGTGGCAATATTATAGTACTTAGGATTCAGCACCCTGTTTAAATAAATAGTTGTGTTTTACACTTACTAATTGTAATGATTACATGTTATTTTGTGGGGAAATGGTGAAAAATTGTCCTAGGGGGTGGGTCTTGCAGATAATGAATTTACCTTTTTATGTCATATGACTCTGCTTTAATGGGCCTGCAATTTCTCTATGGTCTGGCAAGAAAGATCCCAGATTGCATTTGGGAAGTGTCAAGGAAAATAAGCTTTCTCTCTCTCTCAAAATAAAAGATGAATAATTTCAATTACTCCTCAGACTATCATTTAGGCCCATTAAATGCTTTCCCCATTTTGCCATTCGGCCTGACATGGGGGCTTTGCCATCAGACTGTGTGACTGTCATCTCCTTTGTTGAAGTGGACCTTCCCTCCCCATCTCCAAGGTCACTTTTCTGCACCAGCCATGGTGCAAACAACAACACCATCTGTATTAATGGCCTTTGGACAAATAAAGCAGCATTGGTGGCAGCCAGCGGAGGGGAGCCAAGTGGAGGGGCTGCTTGCAGCGGTGGGTACAGAGGCGGGCTCTCAGACTGTAGCCAGCTACCTCACTCAGGCTGTGGTGACTCCACATGCTCTCCCAGGCTTCATACCATGGCTCAGCTGCCAGGGAACCACCAGCGAGGACGACATGAATCACTGTGTGAGAGCCTTCCAGGAGAAAACGCAGAGGTACAAGGAGCAGCAGCAAGAATTGAACTGTTCTGTGGCTAGCCTCCGGACCCTGAAGCCCATCTGCTCCGAGGACACCGTCCTGTGGACGCTGCATGAGTATGCCAAGAAGTATCACCCCCTGACTCTGGGTATGGCCTCCCCCACCCCATCAGATTCTCTCAACCCTGGTCCCAAGTGAGATCCCAACAGGCCATTGTACAGCCAGAAAGAGCACCTAACCAAACACAGCTGGTGTCGAGGAGAAGGGACCCCGTCCCAGGCAGTTGGGGGAGGCTGGCAGTGCCTTAGGAGCCCTAGCTGAGCCCCAGTGAACTTTGAACAGCAGCTTATGGCTCTGTGGATGCCACTTTGGGAGTTTTCTCTGAGCTGGACTTCGTTGATCTCTGAGCAGACACAATAGCCTTGTGAGGATGAGGCAGTCATTCATTCCTCTTAGAGGTTCCTAGAGGTGTTCCGGGGTGGGGTGGGGGTATCACAGCAAGGACACTGACATCTGCCCTAGAATCAGGATCCAACTGTTCTGATGGAAGCTTCACCCCAACCCCTGACACCCATATATACCCAGTTACTGGAAATCCGCCGCTGCGGCCGCTAACGTAATAAGCCAATCAAACTGAATTGATAAATCCAGGCTTAATGAACAGAGCAAAGCAACTCCTGGGTGACCCTTGAGAAGGCAGAGGAGGAGTGTGAGTGAGGACCTGTTTGATTCATTCCCCCAAAGCCCATGCAAATAAGCCAGGTACGGTAGCAAATGGCTGTAACCTCATGGTAGGTCTCATGGCCAAATCGGTCTCCAGAATCATTGTGTTAACCAGCCTCCAATAAAAACAAGGTAAGAGTAACAAAAGAGGACATTCAGTGTAGACCTCTGACCTCCACAAGTACATGGATGCACTGGCACACACTTACATACGAGTACATGGATGTACTATGGCACACTCACTGTGTGTGTGACTGCATGTGCACATGTACATGTATGCGCATGGGTACACACACACTGGGCTGGTAGCCTTTCTTGTTAATATGAAAATTGTTTAGGGACTTATCAAAAATGGATGGTAGTTTATATGTCTGCCAGGTTTTAAAATATTCCAGGCATGACAAAGAATCCTCGCCCAAGTTTTAGGATTTAGGCCATGTCTATGGTTACTTGCCGTGTGTAAGAAAGCAAACAGCTTTACCACTCTGGGTTCCTGTTTCTTCATGGAAGGCAGAGGAAGATGGACCAGGTATCCCCTAGGGTGCCATCCAGCTCTGAATTTATTTGATTCTTTAACACCTGCCTTCACCCTGCCGGTCAGTGTCACCACCGGGACCCGGTGGCACTTTTGGTGATGATTCCCATGTGCTTCCTCCCACCTGGAGGCTCTCCTGGATTTAGGACCCGAGAGCTAAGTGTGTCCTGGACCTACCTGTACTTCCTGGCTATGAATGTCTCAGGACTTGCCAGGGAAGTAACACGTAACACATGGAGCTAACGGTGGCATCTGCCTCCTTGGCTGTTGGAAGAATGATGTGAGGTATCTACTGGGGAGCAGCCACCTTAGATCCCTGGCAAGCAGTTGGGGATCTAGGTGTGGCCTTCAGTTTTTTTTTTAAACTGTTAATATGCCAGAGAACTTGAGAGCAAGCCCTTCTCCCCCTCCTCCTCCCTCCCCCTTCTCTGAAACCCTCGGGAACCCCTGCTGTCTCCTTGCAGAATGCAAGAACGTGAAAAAGCCGCTCCACGAGCCCCCCATCCCCGGCTGGGCAGGCTACCTGCCCAGAGCCAGGGTCACTGAACTTGGCTGTGCCACAAGGTATACCATCATGGCCCAAAAGTGCTACAAGGACTTCCTGGATCTGGTGGAGCAGTCCAAGAGGGCCCAGCAGAAGCCCTACGAGCAGTAAGTGCAGCTTGCCTTGCCTTGTACCTATAAGCTGCAGGGCCCAGGGAGGAGAGCCAAGGTAGGGGCAGGCACAGCAGGGCATGTCCCACCCCAGCACAATAGCCTTGCCTTGGTTCTGGGTCTGGCTTGCTGTGTAGACATGCCTGATTCATCACAGAGGGGACATTCCTGCAGGCAGCCACTGTGCTCCAGGCCAGGGGTGCCATGGGCGGCATATTCTTTTCAGGGAAGGGCTGGGAGCAACAAGCAGCACTGTCTGTCTCAGCCTCAGCCTGAGACGCTAATCCCAGCACACACCTCCAGTCCCAGCGGTCTAGAGGCAGAGGCAGGCAGATCTCTTTGAGATCAGGACCCCACCCCCCACCCCAGTCTACATACTGAGTTCCAGGACAGCCAGAGCTGCATAAAGAGACCATAACCTAACATAAACAAACCTAAATATAATATAACCTAACATAAAATAAACCTAACAACAAAAAAGCTGAGGATGATGGGTTCTAGCATCCAGTGCCCCAGGGTTGATTTGGGATCTGGCTGGACAGCTCTCCTGCATCAGTTTGTCATCCGTGGGACAGGGATGGTGAACTGAAGGCGGGGGTGGGCTGTAGGGATTAGAACAAAGGAGCTCCCTGCGCTTGCCCGGGTTCCCCAAGTGCTAGGCCTCTTACTGTGAGGAGTAACTTCACGCTCTCTGCCTACTTTAGAATATATGGTGCGAGACCTGCACAGCCTCCTGACCCTTCTCCAAAAGTCTCGCAGCTCCAAGGTCTCCCACCCGAATACCCAGAATCCTCTGTGCCGGGTAAGTAAGGAGAGGGACCGTTTTCTTCTGGCCTCCCTGATCAGCGAGGTCACCTGTGTGCAGCTCATATGGAGGCTTTTTCCCTTCCAGACCAAACACCCCCAAGGGAGGACCCCGGAGCTCCCGGAACCTGTGGCTGTGCTCAGTGGTCCAGTCTGTCGTGCAGCAGGAATGTGTATGGAGAGCCACCCTCCCCAGCAAAGAAATTTTCAGAGGGCTAGAATCAGGTGCCCTCCCAAAGAGATGTGAGCCTCAAGGGACTTCAGAAGCCTACTGCACTCGCCCTGCCCACTCGTGGGCAATGAGGAGATTAAATAAGAATTGTTTAACTGCTACCTGTGCCCTGAGTGATCGGCCGTGTCATCCATGACAGTCTTTGAATAGAGAGGTCACTTCTCAACCTGTTAAGTTTTTTCTTTTTTCTTTTTTTTTTGTTGGGGGAGCTCCCAATATGTTGACCTAGTGAAGGGCCCATCAGGGCTGTCTCTTGCTAACACTGAGGAAGAGCTTGTGTAGCTTGGTCAGGCTCTTCTTCGAAAGCCAAGCCAATGGTGCAGCCTGCCCCCAGCCCTGGTAGAGACAGCCTACTCCATCCCTGCTTTTCTAGAATCTGGCAGACCGGCTATGTGAGATTACCGGGGCTGGTTAAACGCAGTACCCAGCCGGGTGTCTTCACCACACACAAAGTCCAAATCTGTAGATTTCAGTTTCTGGGACCAAATACCCTAAGAAGCAACTCGAGGGTGGAAGGGTTTGTTGTGTGCACAGTTTGGGGGTTCAGAGCCCATCACGCTGGGGAAGGCAGGGAGGAACATGAGGTAACCGGACACACACTGCATTTGCAGGCAGGAACAGAGTAGACAGGAAACAGAGACAGGCTGCGGCAAACCTGGAGGCCCTCCCCTAAGTGACACACGTCCTCCAGTGAGGCTTCACGTAAGTGTTCTGCAGGATTCTAAAACAGCACCACCCACGGGGGACAGTGCTCAACCACGGGAGCCCATTGGGGGGATGTTTCAACATTCACGCCATGCCACGGGTCCTCAGTCTCTGTCTTCCAGTTACATGTCCTTCTCCCTGTGTGTCTGTATACTCACGGCCTCTTGGGGACACTGGTCACATCGGCAGAAGAGTTCCCTGGGCTCCATTCTGATGCCATCCTATTCAAGCCTGCAGGGCCCTGTCTCCAAGCCAGTCATATTCTGAGGCCCTTGTTTTCATGGGACACGGTTCAGTCAATAGGATTGGCTTCCTGCCTCTTTCCTGGGGCAGGTCAGGTGTCTGATTTCATGCTATAACTGTCAGTACAGTTACAGAAGAAGTCAGAGGGAGCTCTGAGGGGACAGAGTCTGTCCATGGGCATCAAGGCACTTGGAAACTCACAGAGCCCACAGAGATGGCTTTTTTCCCCCTGGGAGTTTCTCACACAGCAAGGCCATCCTTGCTGCAGGGTGCATGGCCGAGTTCTCTGAGGACGGTGGGGGGGGAGGAGCATGCAGGGATTAGGGGAGTGAATCTGAATTGCTTTAGGTATTTCAGGGCCTGAGAGATGGCTCAGTAGGTAAAGCCCCCTGCTCCTATGTTCAGTCCCTGGGACCCATAGATGGAGGGAGAGAAACAGGTCCCCATAGGCTGTCACCTCTAACCTCCACAGGTATGCCGTGCATGGTGGCACATGTGTGCCTAAATACATTCAAAACACATCGGAGGTTTTTTGTTTAAAGCGAAAGGAAAGCCTCGTCTCTGCAGAAGGTAAAGTGATGCTCTCTTCAGAGGCCAAGGTTTCTTCCATCTTTTTCCCTGAAGGAGTGACAGACTGCACAACCCCACCAAGGAACCAGGAAGCCGGTCCCCCGGGCTGCCTGGAGGCGGGTGGTCCAGGCCTCTGCTTGCCAGGAGAGCAGGCATGAGAGAGGCGTGTCTCCTTGGCCCTTCTTGGGACTCAAGGTTTGCAGGTGACTGTGCTGGGCTACAGGGGTCTTGACAGTGAATTGTAGGGGATGACAAAATGGCGTGTTTCCGCCCCTGGCCCTAAAGCCTGTGACAATATTTAATCATTTCTTGGCTAATTCATTTTACAGTAACTTTTTAAAACCTCCTGCAAGACCCCCCAAACAACCCAGTGGAGAGGTAGCGAGGTTGGAGGCAGTTCAAGTCATGGACGGGCTGCTGTTTTCTAGGTCACGATCACCAAGTTCAGGGTGCAGGGCTGTGACTCCCTTTGTCTCCTCAGGTCTGCTTTGCAGCTCTTTTCCGTAGTCTTCACCGTTTCTATAATTTCCCTAGCCTATAATTTCCGTGAGCTTCTGTCGCCTGGGAGGGGTATGTAGAGGTGATTTTTGCCTTGCAGCAAATTATCATTATTAGCACTGGCTGCATCCGTAATGAGCTCATTCTTGCCACTAAAAAAAAAAATAACAATTCCATTACCTGAGAAGAAAAAAGGAATCCCTGGGCCAACTGGGCCGTTTGTCAGGATAGCTTCATCTTTGTGGCGATTAAGGTCCTCTTTTTAGGGGTCACTCTTTGCTTTCTGTACAAAAAAATTGGTAGCCTTCCTTCAGTTTGGTGGAGAGGGGACCCGAGTGGCCCCTGTGCCTGCCACGGGTTCCACGGGGGTGACCAGCCGCCTGCAAGACTCCTTCCAAAGCTCTCAGCCATAGCTTCCACTTTGCTCAAGCACAACTGCGTGTGGTGTAGGGGGCGGGGCCCCAGGATTCATATCTCAGCTTTTTATTTCTGCAAGTGTCACCGTGGACATAGTCCCTAAAGTCTCTGAACGCCACATTCCTGATTTGTGAAATGGAGATTTATGCCAAGAACCTTGTAGCATCCCTATTGTAGTGGCATCCTGCATTGCCAGTGAACTGACAGCTGTGGCTACATCCTACAGGCGTGACTTCAGGTGCACAGACGGGACCCCCTTATAAAGGAAGAGGAGGGGCTGGCTCGAGCACTTAGGACGTGGCCACCACCACAAGTTCACCGGCAAAGCAAGATGCCACTGCACCTCATGACATTGAAAGGCCAGACAGATGTGGGACTTTGGCTGTAGCTTAGTGGCAGAGTGAGCAACACGGGCAAACCCCCGGGTTCGGTCCTGCTGTGTTAATGTTAGTTATACTTTTCTTGTTTCTGGTGTCCAACATCCAAGAAGAAGAAACTTAGAGAAAAAGTTTCTTTTCTCTTTCAGTTCAAGAGGGTACAATGTGTCAAGGTCAGGAACCGGAGGCGGCTGGTGATGTCACACCCCACAGTGAGCAATGGTTAGTGCTCACCCAGCTCCTTTTTTTACTCTGTTCGGGACTTCAGCCTGTGGATTCGATGGCTACACTGGGTCTTCCTACACCACGCAGCCCAATCTGGAAATTCCCTTACAGACATGCCTACAGGTGTGTCTCCTAGATCATTCTAGATCCTGCCGAGTTGACAGTGTAAAAAAAAAATGACTACACCCATAAAACAGAACAAGACAGAGCCAGTCAAAGTAACGGCGTGGAAAGCGGCACGGCGCCACCAGAAAAGGGAGGTCTGCCACTAAGCCCTCATGTCACTCTGTGGTCTGTGGATCTCCTCCTCAGCCACTGTCACAGTGAGCAGCCTCTAAAGAGTTGTGGACTCACCCTGGATCACTTCAAATGATGAGCCTGCCTTCCTTGTGAGGTGGTTTTGGAAGATTCACTGTGGCAGTGGAGCTTAGCAGGGCACTTCACAGTTTGCAAGGTGTTAAGTTCATAGGCCACCAAACCCCAGAGCAGGCTCCATTCCATTCCTCAACACTCTTGAGTTCCCCTGCTTATCCCCGGCATCTCCTGGAGGTGTTATTTCGTGATTCCAGCCTCCAGGTTCCTGCTCAAGTCCCTGGTATAAGCTGTAAGTAAACCCTTTCTTCCCCGGGTTTCTTTTGGTCCAGAGTGTTTACCATAGCAACAGACAGCAAATCAGAATAGGTCCAGACAGTTACATACGATAGCCTTCATGGGCCATATGGACTTTGAAGCAGCTCCTGCCATCGGTAGAATAGCCAGGGTATAACTAAATGGTTGGCTATCGTGTTTCAATAAAACTTTATTTGGCAGAAGCTGAAATTTTAAGTTCATGAACATTTCCCTGTACTGTAAAAGGTCATTTGCGTTTCGGATTTCTGAGAACGAAGTAAAGCTGTGAATGCCATTCTTAGCAAAGGAAGAAGGAGGACAGAGAAGAACCCTAACTCTGGACTCTGCCGTAGGCCATGAAGTAAGCCAAAAGCAGGGTGCTGAGAATGCAGCCTAAAACCATGGCCAAAAGACAGGAAGGCAAAGACCAACGTGGAGCTTGTATTAGCCAGGAGAAAGCCTACAGTGGCTTGAGAGAAAGCCAGAAACAAAGGCCCAGGGGAGGCTTTTTATACCATGCATTCAAGTTAAAATCTAATTTAGATGAAAATGGAGAAGCAGAAATGAAATGTGTGAGCGGCCTGAGCTGTTCAGCCGTATGCCCTCTAACGATAGCTTTACAAAGTACATTCCCTTGGCTTGAAAAATCAAGATGATATTTCTCCTTTTCCTGCAATTTGACTTTGTTGTTTTTGCAAATTGCTTTAGCTCTGTGAATAGTACACACTCCATTTCTGATCTGCAGCAAACAAAACATGGAGCATTAAAGTGTTTAAGGTTCAATCAAAGGCTTGCTGCGCGCGGCACAATATTAAAATAACAGAAAAAAATCAATTCCATTTTTTATTCTGGACGTGATTGGTCACAAATAGCATTCTAACAGATAACACTGATTATATGGTGGCAAATGTAGCTTATCTATACCAAGCGCGATGGCTTTGTCAGTCGTCATTAAGGAATTTGACACGCATGCAGGAGAACAATGCGCGTCGGCTGAAATACACACCAGCCGGATAGAAATAGGATTGCTGAATGAATGATTCTGGCACACACTATACTTATAAGTCATAATCTGCAGCCTAAAGTAGCTTGGGTTTTCAAACAAGAACTCTTTTTACGCTGTCATTTAAAATATCTCATATTTCTGAGGGTCAGGAATAAATGGCGCTATTGGCGTTAAAAGCTAGTAAAAGATATTCATTTAACATACCAGTCTACAGAATAGCTTTGTAAAGAACTCATTTGTTTTTTTTCCCCTACCCTGTGATGACGGATTCTCTGTGGGCAGCTTGATGTTGGGCCTTTGTTGCTGTTAACATCTTCACTAGGCCAAAATCTTTACAGGATTCTGTGCCCTCGAGCCTGGGAGGGAGTAACGGGAAATGAAGTTGTCGGCACAGCTGTGGCCTTGGCTGGTCTGGCAGGGTGTAGGTAGGGGTGTTAGTGTCTGAGGAGGT